GCTTGTGATGTCGACTTGGACATGTGCATATATAAATACAAATTGAAGTGAAATTTTACTGTTTTCTTATTCTTTCAATAGAGTTGTCATTTTTTTCTGCTGACATTTCTTAGCTTTGTGCAGATATTACAAATGGGTTCTGCTATGACCAAGTGGCTGTGTATCAAAGTGACAGGTACTTTGGCCACTTTTATCGGCATTTTGTTTGGTAATGTAGCTAATCAGCACGATGCATGATTGCAATTCAGTTGATGGTTATGCTTGCATAATCATGGTTGACACACTTGATCCAAACTAGTCCTCGTCAATTATGCAACCAGGCAATTCGGTTGACTACTGCTTCTCTCCTTTTTTCTTTTCCCCGAGACCGCCAACTATCAGATCGTATCGTGCTTTAACACTTGCGCCAGTTGCGTCATGCACTGATAGGGTGTGTCGTTGTGCAGCCAAAGCCTAAGCAATGAAGTTGTCAATGCAAGACCAACAATTGCCTTTACGAAGCACCACTACTAAGGCAATTGCTGATGATCATGATGGACCCAAGTAAATCACCTTAAATTTTGTATACCTCATAACTTTTCAATAGTACCTGCTTCCTTCACTGCAATTTAGCTTACATGCCACATATTCGTGACATCTGGTTGAACCAAGTGCATATGTGATACTGGTAGAAGAAGCGTTACAGGCCGATTCTTCGGGATCATATGATCACACATTGCATGTCACATATCATTCAACTCACACGCCTTTCAGTGAGTGACCAGCCATCAGTGCATTTATATCCTCCATTCAAGCAACGTAGCGCAGTTTTACGCAATATATCACAGCAAAATACAACTCCTCACAGTTACAAATTGCCACTCAACCACCCGTTTATGGCGGTGCGGTGAAAGCAGAAGAATGATGGTGTGGTTTGGTAAAGGCAAGCGGGCCACTTAGAGCCACATAGAGTACTGTAGGTTATGCAGTTAAAAGTCAAGCCAGCCAACCAATTACATGGGCCTACGAAAAAATTGATGTAGGGAATCAACCAATGAGGTGTGAGGTATAAAGCTTTGTGTTCCGTTGCACTTCTCTAACAGTTGATGTCTCTCAGAGTTTCTGCATGCTGACATCGCTTGAGGCCGAGCAATTGGACGACTTGATTTGTGGCGTGTGTAACAAGTAGTAAGTGCTCTTTTGTTATCCATTTGTGGAGCAGCTAAAATGTGCCACAATCGGCGTTTTTTTCATCAAATTAACCTAATTTTTATTGCCTGCTTAGTGAGAAGAATAATTTTATACTTTTCCTCATGCTTCTACCATTGTTAACTCAGTAATATGCTTGCATTTACGCTCTCTGTATCAGTGAATGAATGTCCTTTGATGCTAGCAAAAGAAAAGTAGCGCTTGTAGTGGATACGATATTTTTGCCCTGACAGACTAGATGTTGAGGTACTGAAGAAGTGTGGTAATGAGGTTACAAGACCCAAGCAGGAAGAGTCAGTCGTCAGTGAGAGTGCTTTAAACTGAGGCAAATGACTAGAGACCATTTAAAGTGCCTCAACTTTGTTTGCGATTTGCAGTCTTTCACGGAGTCAGACATTCACACTCGTCTATTGAGCCTGATGTAGTAACAACCGAGTAAAAACGCTTGCCTAACGCTAAGCGATGTGGCTTTTCGTTTGAGTGTGGACATAAGGACAGGTCCCCGCTCCCAGTTCCACGCTTCTCACCAATCCAGCTAGTCCACTCAACGGTGACTCAGCCCATTCAAATGTATTGGACGTGTCAGCAACCAGTTCAATGAGGCTAAATACTATAGAACTTTTTTAACTGCTTATTCTCTGCTCTCTTTTGCCAGTGCGGTGCATGGTACTTTGTTTAGAGATGTTGCCAGTGCAGCACCGATGATCGCAGCGCCAGTGCAGACTCCGACGGTCATATTTAACGCGGTCAAAATAAGTCAAAGTAATTTTGCCCATTCCTCGACACTACCCCTTGGGCGGGTGAACCAGCACTACTGCGTGTCATCTTGATTATCGTCGCCTTCGACGCATTGAGCCACAGTATCAGTAGTAGTGAGTGGAAGAGTGGAAGTGGGAAAGCGCAGGGCATACTTGACACCTACTTGCGCGTGTGGCAACACAACGGTATAGGATCAATCCAGAGGTTTGTTAAATGGAGATCAAGACGCATTGGGTCGTCTTTCGTATGACCTCACTGAAAACTTTGGCATAAGCATCTTATGCTTCTTTTGCTTCTCTTGCAGCCTACAGACCCCCTGCACCCTGCCATGTAAACATTCGTATTGTTTGGAGCCCTGTCTGATAGCTCGGCCGGGTCAGACTAAAGTGCAGTGCTTTCAATGTGACCAACTCTACCCTCTCAGTTCAGCTGTGCTCAATGAAGTTCTTGATAAGTGAGTAAGGCGACGCTGTATAGAGGAACGACGGGGCCTCGTAACCGCCTGTAACTCATGTCAGCATCCAGCACCACTTCTACGTGACTGTCAGCACTGTCAGAAGCAAGCCTGTTCCAGCTGCTGGGAGTCCCATTTAGCCAAGATGATGTCATTTGCTGTTAACTTCGCCTCACCTAATAAAGCCGATAAAAAATTTTGCGATTTTACTTCAATTGTTTGAAAGGTTAATGTGATGGAGACTAGAATGTAGCCACTAAGTTTCATCCACACAATGCGGAATGAGAGAGGGAAGCCAAGCCTCTCATGCTGGGGTGGTAGAAGGCAGGACAGACATAGCCCTCCCAGTTTAAACTAGGCTCTCAGAATTTCGTCAGGTGTTATATAGGATGGAGAAAAGACACAGCAGCTTGTGTATGGGTTAAATTATGATTGAAGACAGGCGAGTGATCAATGACTGTCTAGCTGCAGCCGAGTCATCAACAGACTCGGCGGACGTACACTCAAGCGGTGGAAGTAGTAGCGTGATGCAGCCCACTGCAGGCATTGAGTTTGCTTCCTTCATTTAGGTGGTTCTTATTCCTTGCACCCTGTCCCTTATCCAAATATGCCAATTGTTCATTTTTACTCCACCCATCTCAATACTGGGAGAGGAGTGGTCACCATTCTGCATGTTCTGCAACCTTCCTGCATCCCAACCCTGGAGTCAGGTTTGATGTTAACTTTAATCACTAAATAGCACCAGAATTTGGTTTGAAAACAACCGATAGCTTCTCCAACATTCTTTATTTTTCAAAAACACCTGAAATGGCTAATAAGCTGACAAATATAAGACGAATGCGTAAGAGTGATCAAGAACTCCCACCAGATGCTGTGCATTTCTTCAGGTAAAGGAGGGTTGTCTAGTTTAGTTACACTTTTGCAAATGAGTGAAAGCAGAGAAAAATTTTGATTTAGGTTCTTCTTACCGACCAAATTCTAGCCTTGTATTTTATTGAAATAGCTAAGTTAAATTGTATTGTCTGTGCATTGCTGCCCATGCGATTGGAGTACTTTAAATTGCCTTGCCGATGTGAAGCAGTTAAACAAAGAGGAAAACTCATCGAGACATCCATCTACCCACTAACTTTTGCCGATGGCTATTATAGGGAGAGGCGTTGCTTAAAGAAGTCGCAAGTCATGCAGTAGAATGCCTTAAAGATTGGACATTCTTATTCTTTCAACTTTCAGGTAGTTACCTCAGTATCCAAATCAACCCATGCTTTGTTAAAAGCAAAGAGCGATCTAAAGAACATGCGCGATTCACTGAAGGCTATGTTCCACTCCCAAATGTCTCGTCTGGATGATTTCATTAAACAGGCGACAATGGAACTTAAAGACGCCTGCAGCAAGTCGGTGGATCGCAGTACTGCAAATTTAAACGCCCTTATTGCTGAGCGTCAAAATGAATTAGCGACCTTAAAAGAGTCCGTCATTAAAACAAGAGAATGTATTGGGAAATATGCATGTCAAAATCAGCTTATTCCTAAGATGGTAAACATGCTATTCTACTTACTGATGCCTAATTTCTTTTTTCAGTTACTGAATTCTCTTTTGCACATGAAGACAAAGCTAACAAAAGCAAGTGTTCATGCAGTTTATATCCAACAAAAGATGAATACATTTATAGAGAGAAGTAATTTACGTGTCGATTCCTCTGTACGTGCATACTTTACAATATTTATTAATGCATTCTCCTTCTTTACTACTACTATTCGCCAGTGTTAAAACATTTGATTTCGCTGATGTATCTAGTTACCTGGATTACTTGAGACCTTGTCATTGATCGACGTGACAGGACAGGAGCAGAATGACAATAAAAACAGGTAAAGTTAGCATTTTTCTTTGTTCCTTTTTGCGTGAGTAATCTTTTTGTTGCTGCTTCAATTAGTTAGCAGTGTGTATGCATAAGTAAACCAAAAGTAGCTTCACTTTTTGCTCTTCATCCAGTCGTCAAGACGAGTCTTCAAAAGATGACAGCTCCACCAGCAATGCATCCACTTGTAAACAAATCTTTGTTGGGGGTATCCTGCCAAAGACTAATTGTATGGAGTTGAGGAAATACTTTTCGCACTATGGAACTGTGGAGCACGCCTACATATCACCCTACAAATTATTCGGCTCTGTTACATTTGAAAGTGAGGAGTCTGTGCGCAAGGCCATCTCTCAACCCGAACATTTTATCTGCGGTAGAAGGGTTACAGTGGAGGAGTATATTCCCAAAAAAAGGTATGTTTAATATCACGCCTCAATTTTTCCATGAAGCATCGGTAGAACATGCAAATGGGGTGTGGGCTTTTGTAGGGTTATGCAAAAGTAATTAGACCACTTCTTGACGAAAACGAAAATGTGACAGACGTTGCCGCAAGGCACAATTCTGTCCCACTTCTAAGGCATGGAATTGTGGCTTGGAGGGCTCCAGTGTAAGCTAGAATCTTGGCCCACTCTAAGCCTTCTAATGTTTACCTGCTTTGTTTAAATGCTACGAAAATAACAATTTTGAAGGGAAACTCTGCATCATTAAATAAACCTTTCAATCTAAAAAGGTGGCTAAAATAGGCAGAATGTTTATTTAAAGAATTCCACTACTCAACTATTAGTTTGTCGGCTTTGCCCGACCACCTCGTATATTTTCATTGAATGAAAAAGTAACTACTACGTAGGTGATTGTGTATTCTTCCACCTTTCAGTTTACCTGTCTTGGAGCCGCAACCCTACAAAAAGGAGTCTCCATCTACACACCCATGGGAGGCACAAAAGGTCTTCATCGGTGGTATTTCGACCGAATCGACGATAGCCACAGTGCGGTCCGCACTATCACGGTTGGGTCCGATTGAGAAGATCGAAATGGTTCCTCAACAAGGCTTCGCCATTGTGGTGTTTAAAGAACCTGAGACGGCTAAATTGGCCATTTCAACGCGTTGGTACACTGTGGATGGTAAGAGGGTGGAAATGCTACCCTATGTACCTGATAAGAAGACGCGTGATGCTCTAGCGTAAGTCTTCTTCACTTGCAACTCTACGCAGTTCCATTTCTAACTGATCGGCCATTTACCACTAAAATAGGTCGAATTAAAAGAGTTTTAACACGAATCATATTTTATTATGAAGCAGTGGGGTTTAGTTCAGTTCAATTTTGCTCTGGTTCACCACTGTCATGGTTCCTGCGATCCGCCATGGTGTCGAATTGGAAAATATCCATAGATGGCGACGTTGATTGCGACCACGGCGAGATTAATGTCGCGTGTAATTCAGCCAGCGGTTATGCACTGGTCAGGCGTTCTCTTATTAGTCAAATTTTCGAAGTTAGAAAAGCTGGCAGAGGCTATGGGCTGCAAACCGCCACCATCACTAGAAGTGGAACCATTGGTGACTCAGAGGTACGATTAAATGTTTGTCAAAGGTTGAAACCATTCAGACCAATGAAATGCCTTACTGTTGAGAGGCTTTTTGTGCCATCATTGCTGGACAAATGGAGCTTGAAGTCTGCTGTTGACAGTATGTAAATGGTAGTTCGGAATGCACAGCTATGCCGACACGAGACTGCGTTCACACAAGCACATCCATTGGTGGGTGTAATGTTGGCTAGCAATGTGTGGAATGTGACGGTGCACAACGGGTGTGTCGACAGTAAAAAGTAGTAAACAGAACATGAAATGGTAGACCTCAAATCGCCAGTCCTTGTCTACCTTAAATGCATGTCGAGGTCACTGTCTTGCGTTTTCTCCTCCAATGGACGTTTGACTATTTGTCTACTTTATGCGTATTTATTTACCTTCTGCACACCTCCATCACGACCTATTCACCTTGTTAACCTACCAAAAGCTCAGTTTAAAAAAAAACTAGTTATTGCACTCATTGTTTTCATTTTATCTGTAGCATTTCTAGTCATTTCAGACGGTTTATGGCATCTTTACTGGTAAAAACGTAGCTTAATTGCCTACCCAAGTAAGAGTTGACTTCCGAAATGGCTGACTGGCTAGAGGCATGGGTAGAAGGCTGTAGGACAAAATAAGAGGTAAGCATACGTCACTTATGCTGCTCATGTGTGAGTTTGGAACAGAGATGTATCTGCCAAAGAAAAATAAAAGGTGGCTTGTTGTATTTTACTTTCTATTGCTCGCTGTGGCATATGACTAATTGCAGGTGATTTTTTGCATCCCTTACAGACGAGTTACTTCTAGTCCTCAATTGATGAGGCAGATCACACCTACACCTGTGCTACCTCCAGAGAAGCAAACAACAGTTTTTGTAGGTGGTATTTCATGGGAAACGACAGTGGACTCGTTGAAGTCAGCATTATCGAAGCTGGGTCCTGTACAGAAGGTCACTCTTCCTCCCACAAGAGGCTTCGCCATAGTGGTGTTCGCACACCCCGAGACAGCAGAATCGGCCATCGCTACTCATTGGCACCTTATCGACAATAAAAAGGTAGAACTGCTACCCTTCATACCCAATAGGGCGACCAAACTGAAAACTCTGTAAGTAATTCGTTATACGTTCGTGTTTTGTCATCATTCTGTTGGGGAAGAGAATGGGATGGTCTGCTTCTGTTCTGATTCTGGTGACTCAGCATTCCATACTGCAATGCTGCAAACCCACTTGAAAGTAGAGCACCCATTCTACATATTTACAAGAGGTGGAAGGGAGCTTTGAATTCAGCAGTCATGTCAAGGTCATTTCGCTACTCACAGTAATTTTGCCTTACATCAGCGGACACCACCATGAACTAATGAATTGAATCCGCCTATATCGAAGGAGTGAAAAGAAGAACATGAGGACAAGAGAGGTTCCAGGTCAAGCGGTAGTGATTGTTCTATTTGATTATGGTAGAGTTCAACCGTCGTGTTTTCTGTTATGGTGTCTCCACTACCCTACAGTACGCTGTAATGTACAGTGCCTTACATAAAGCGCATTTCTTGTGCCATTAGCCTTTGGCAGGAGTATTTGCAGTTATGGTACTCCTCTTTGGTACTTTAAAATCATAAAATGCTTTATTTAATCTTCTGGAGCTCAAGGCCTTTAGACGTAATCTTGCTTTGACGCTTCAGGACAGTCGAACACGTCCCTGTGGGGCACATTCTACTGCCCGATCACCGATTCAGCATCAGATTTTACCCTCTAAAGAACGTTAAAAAGAAGGCACCTCAAGAAAAAAGGCGTGGTCAACGTAAATAGACCCCATGACCACTGATATGGTAGTCGGTACTTTCCCATTCAGCGGGTGTAAAGCTCCTTCCACCATAGCTCTTTTTTTAGAGACCTGGTTTGCCTAGTGAACTTTTCAGAAACTCATGCACATTATGCGTGGAACAACTCCACTCCAACCCTCTAGCTCCTCTACTGCGGCGGAACAGTTAAAACGTAAATAGTTAAAGTCCCTGTTCCTCATTTGCACTGCTAAACCACGTAATCTCGACTGTGCGAGATTAAGCCTCACTCCTACTTAAACTTGAAGGTGTAAAAACGGAAAATTTTGCACGCCGTTACGTTTGACAGTTATTTTGGCATGAGATCTATGATCACAATTTCTCTACTTTGTAGCGACTCTGGTGTTGCCAATTCCAACGCACGGAAGTTGATTATCCGAGGACTAGATGAGGGTACAACGTACACAGCCCTACGAAACTACTTCATTAACTATGGAGCGATTGACTATGTCAGCGCCACTGACACAGGGTCCTGGGTGTTGTTTAAGAATGCCGAATCTGTTGATTTGGTTTTGAGTACTCAGCCCCACCTTATTAGGGGCAAAAAGGTCCTTCTGAGTAAAGCAGAAGAAGAGGAAGCCTCTCTGCTTGAATGAAGAGTACTTTTCTAATTAATCCGTGTGTATTTTAGTTCACCCCCTCCCTCAACTTATTTCAAAGGCGATCTACCAGAGCTGCAGAGTTCGAATTCCTCCCTTAGCGAAGGGGACCTGGACGTGGATTTTTAGTGGCAGCATCCTTAGAACTTCAAATAACTAGGTGTGAATGTTGCTGGCAGGAGACATCGTGCCTTACTATAACTGTCATATGTGACGATACTTATAATTACTTACTAAACGCCTATTTTGTGCAATAGTGCACACTTCCTTATTCCCAATTCTCTCGAATAACAACTCGTTGCTACTAGAGATGACCTTCAGAGATGGAGTTATGCTACTCTCCATCCTGTGTAGCATGATGATTCAAAGTATTTATCTACGAAAAATAATTTATGCCTTTATATACAAACTGATGGTGTTGCAGCCATCATTTCCCTCCTTGATTCTTATTTTGAGTCTCCCGTCTTCGTTTCTCTACCTTGCCCCCCCACTCTCTCTCTCCTTTATCGCTGGTAACTTACATCTGTAGTGAAAGTGCTAGCTCATGCCAATTTTAATGTAACAGACTAACCTTTCAGTGAATAGAGCCATAGTGTTTTCACATCAGACATTTTAGGTTGACGTAAATGGTGACCACAAAGGTGTCACGAGTAGTTGTGGATTATTAAGACGTAAGCTGAAATGCAGAGGTAAAAGCACATCGATGTCTTTAAATAAGCGGATATGGAATGGTGGCGCATTTATTTAAACATACGATGAGAGAAATGAATATCTTACTACCATTATTTATTTTTTGCGGCAAAGCTTCGTAAATTGTTGATCACAGTGGTAAAGATAAGCCCCAAGCTTTCACATAATCCGACGCAATGTATTCTTATTTTGTGTACAATGTTAGGTGGTACTCTAGAAGATTGGATTAACTGCTATACTTTAAGTGTTTGTTTAACTGTCGGTCTTAGTAAGGGGGTCACTTAGGCGCTCGTATTGTCTCTTCGCCGGGTAATCTAGCCTCCAGGCCATGCTAGTAGCTTCAGTCCCTTCTACCCAAATATTAAGTCTTCTTCCGTCTTCAGAGAAGTCTTGGGGCACTATATTGGTGGGAGCAGAAAGCAAATCCGGTCATAAAGGACATCTGTCCCAAGTTTAACTAATGGGTGATAAAACTTAGAGGATGGAAGAAAGGCACATGCTGTGGATGGGAAAATCAGTGGCGGTCCCTAACAAAGGGGTTGAAAGTAACGTCTGTCTTTGGTTCTGCCGCAGAGCCATCTACTGTGCCTGCATGAAAAAAACCAGTTATGTGAACTTGCAATAACAGCTCCACATCTTTTCTAACTAGATGAAACCCAGATAAGCATGTTTGGGTGACATTGAAGTGTAAAAAGTTATAAGTAGAAATAAGTGCAGAACTCTACCGCCACGGGATTATGTTAGATTCCGTCTTTTGTCAATTGACTCTGCGTTTAAGCCAGCATTCCGGACACTAGCTAGAAAACCCATGATGACCGGTACAATTCGCTGGCATCGTTTGTAGTGCCCATACAGGGCAAAACTTCAGATCTGTCAAAAATTGCCAAGAATGATCAGTGATGTTGCAGTTAAGTATACCCTCAGTTGCATAGCAATTCGATGACTGGCACAGCTGGTTCGTGGAAAGTTAACTAAGAGGAGTGTTAACAACTGTACTTAAAGCAGGAGAGGTTGGATGGTTGTTTACCTCTCTGTCGTAGCAAAAGGGCTTCTGGACCATGCTAGTAGACCCAGCCCTACTGTATGTCGAATGCGCATAATCTGTCCGAGCATTGTGCCCTTTTATGGTTTCAGGGAAGATAAGAGAGTTTTGCAACCTTGTGACCGCATAGACAAGGTTATTTTATTGCATTAAAAATTGGTACCACTTAATAAGACTAATTATTTTTAAACTTTAGGCACTGGAGGTCATATTCCTCTAAGAATTCCTCTCTATAAAGGAGCGCATAAATTAGGGTTAGAAGATTGAAACATTAAAAATGGTTCCTTTTTATCGAATGCATTGTTGGTTTAAATTAGTGATTCAGAAATGGCAACTAGGACATTCTCCCTCAATACCTACCAAGTCGAATCAAAAAGTCGACCTGCGAGCATTCCAGAGCCAAACCGCCCTAAAAAAGCAAAGCCTAAAAATGAATACCTATATTTCCCATTTAATCTAACATACATTACAAGTGTTTTTTTCTAAAATAATATTGATTTGTTTCAAAAGCCGAAGCATTGACTAGAGCTCAAGGTCAAATGCCCTAGGAGCGCGTTTCGTTTTCGTGTGTTGACCGTTAATGTTGGAAGATACGTGGTAGGAATAGGTGGGCGCATGCTTTATTAACAGCGGATTTTGCACACCCTATTGGTTTGATTTTTGGTGTGTTTTATGTTTATTAAGTCATAGGCACCATGGGGCACTTCTGTGCGAGTGCATTACCTATCTGACTGTTGTGGAATGGACTTAATATTGCTGCCTTTGGAGTGTACACTTCCGTTTTCGCCGTTAATTTGGCATGTAAAATAGTTGGCCTTACCTATATGAGGTCTCGGTCATATTTTATTTCATCGGGGGTATGTAAGTAAACACCTTTTTTGCTACGCTAAAATCGTGTCATCTAGTACGAGTGTTTAATTATATTGTTTCGGCATTCTCAGGGACTTTTTCGTAAAAATATGATGCGTCTGTGGTGGCGTAAAGGACACTTTGCATGAGTGTTGAGGCAACTCGTTATCACTATTGGTCGCGTACGCGTTTTTTGTAGATGAAATGCCTACAGTGAGAAATTTGGCTGTCCTAGCACTCTTCGGCTCGCTTCTCGCTTATGGTGTTGGCGTTTTTATCTACGTTATTTGTGGTTTTCTTTCATTTGCTGCTGGGTATGCTTATCATTTTTGCCTGATCAGTCATCCTTAGATTCCTCCTTTTTCTGCCGGATACGCATTGGGTATCGCTTAAACAAAAAGTCCCCGTTTCACGAGGTCTGGTGGAAGTAATTTGTTTCATAGTTAAACTTTTCACGCTACTAGGTTGAGGATTTTCGACCGCTACATTCGCGTGCCAAGTACAATTATGCCATTTCCGGTTGCCACGAGCTAGACGTTGTGCTGAACCAAGTAGGTAGACTGATACCGTTACACAATGTTGGTCTCCAGATTTTAGAATACATAATTGATGACTATGTACGATGCTGGTATGCTCAATTGACAAGCGAATCGGAATTTCCAGGTCAGTTGCACGCGGCTATGGCGCAATTGGCAGGTGAGGTAGCGAAACGCGCTCAACGTATCGACTGGGTCCCTTTCATGATTGAAGGTATCCCTAATATGGTTATCGAGCATCTTCGTATTCATCGGAGATCTCTGGAAAGGCGATCGCTCTCTAATGCTGAAGGTCCGTCAATCCTTGCCTTTCCCTGATCTCCTCCTAGATCCGCTCAAGCTCTTCTTCGACGAAGAATATGAGATGGAAAAACCAATCTGTCGTGAGGATATTTGTACTTCAAGGGCGAAGGAACTGAGTAAGTGTTCAGTTTTTACAGCATTCTCGGGCCTTAGATCACCTTCGAAGAGTTACAGATGTGTTTCTTTTCGCGATTATGCCGGAAGATGACTATCGAATAGTAGCGGTGCGCTACCTAATCAAGGTAATTCGGTTCTCTCCTATCAGACTCGCCGCTTTGTAGGAAATACTTGTAAACGGTGTTCTACTGCCAGCTGTGAACATTCTTGCTGATTCGGACTTTGTAAATCAATCCATTATCAAACTGGTGAGTGATTTACATATTGGTTTAAGGGTGAATGATTCTGTCACCTTTAGTGCAACGAATCCGCATTTGCTAGTCCCTACTTTATCCAATCCTTGCGGATGTCAACACGAGAAGATGAGTTGCAGACGGTGAAGGAACGTATTGAGATATTTGCTGCCAAGTTACGTGGTCGCGATTCTGGTGGTGATGATGGTATGTTAAAGTTGTTGCAAAAGTTGTTGCATACGAATTAAGGTTGAACTTGTGCTAGCAAGCATTGGTCCCGCAAAACTATTTATTGTCTCAGTACAAGCTAGGTAGTATAAGGTGTTGGGACCAGGAAGTAGGCTTTTCTATTCACGTTTAAAAGTACTGAAAGATGAGTGACATGGATGCTATGAGAATAGCTTTGCAAGCATTATTGTACTTCATGGCACTGTTGTGCTCTGGTCGTCTTTTTGGATCTTCTTTTGATCACTCTTTCAAATCTTTTTGATCAGACATTTGCTACGACTTCAGCTTTCAAGCAAAACTTTATCACTAGAAATTGGTAAAAGAATTTGGACCCTTATCGCCTACGTTCCTATCTCGCTTTCACTTTTCAACTGTTAATTCTACTTTGTGTGCCTTTTTGGCATAGTGATGGCTAAATGCGAAGAAGAGGTAGTAAAGACCACCTGGTAATGCGAAGGATCAGGTTGAAACAGTATGTCACGTCGCCTTTTAAGGCACAAAGTTCCTCATGGATCTTGTGCTATGCTATCGTGTAAGGGTAGAATTTTCACACGATTATCCGGTCTGTTCATTAAGCGAATCTCAACGTTTAGTCTATCTGTTACTAAGACTCGCATGTTTGAAATCTTTGGATGTTAATGCCGTTCTCAGAAAGGCTATCTCCTATTGTTCCATTCTGCCGTGATGTTTAACTGGAGAAATCAAGATAGGTTTACTAGTGGTTCTTGCAAGAGATAAAGAGGTGTGTGAGAGGTGTCTGAGCCAAACTGAGGTGGAGAGCTTTGTCTCTTAGGCAGTACTACTCCTAATGACCGTAACTCATGTCACACGGAGTTCATTCCCATCCAGACATCGTTATTCCAGGCGGAAGGTAACAGTGGCCGTGGTCGCAATTGTGTGCGTGTGTCGGTAATCAGCAGCGTGGGGTCTTGAATGAAGTTCCCTGCCAAAGAGGACGTCAAGCTTAAACCTACAGCTGTCCACTTGTGTATGCGGAAGACCACAAGTACAGCACGCAGCAATACGGCACGATGCCTTAGCAAGACATCAGAATGTTTTGAATAGTGCCAATCTTTTAAAGACGGTCAGTGGAAATCCCAGTCGTGACGGTTGTGGCGATGGTACTTTCCATCCCACAGCCCCAGCAGTCATTCTGTGCGGAGCACCTGGGCGACACAGTCTATCGTGCAACAAATTTGTGCGAGAGCGACTCGCCTGAGGCTATGGTGACCACAATCCATGCGGGTGTACTTATAAACTTTTTTGAACCGAAGCTGCTCTACAGGCATCGAAAAAAAGCTGAGCTACTTGTGTACGCATGAAGGTGCACTATGCGGACTGGATAAATACATTCCCTGGGCTCAAAATTTATTGCTTGGTAAAATTAAAGGCTCCAACACAGCCAGAGTGTCTCTTGTACAGCTAAGGCAATTAATGCTCTATCACTGCAGCCCCTTTTGTCTCTTCTTTATGCCCATAGACGCGATGGTAAAAGCACAGTTGAACAGTCTGAATTTCCTCGAGAATATTTGCGATTCCCAAATCACTGAAATCAAGCGCGGACCCTCTCGAATGCCAGGACATCTCGTGAGTTTTTTTTTCTTTCCTTTGCCCTCTTCTGCCATCTAAGTTACATTGAAAAGTATCTGTAAGTCTGCTGGTTCGTTTTGGTGCAAATTTATTTTTTAATGAAACATTCCTTCAGGCATCCAGGAGGCAACAACAGAAGGTGAGCCAGTTGTCCTCCATCCTAACGCGCTACTCAACACCTCACCAAATGCACACGCTTTCGTAATTGATAACAGTCCTGTCGCTGAGACTAGCCTAATTCATTTATTCCATTTTTTTATGCAGAAAAAAAACAATAAATTCGACATCACCATGATTCAGCTACTTTCGGCGCGCATTTCCACTTACCTCTCTCTCATATAGACGTTGCATTTTCCGTCCTTTTTTGTTTCTATCCAGATGGACGCAATGGCATCGGGAGCGGACGTCCTATCCCATACTATGGTTGATTTCACCTTTGATGATGTGATGGCAAATAACATAGCCGTGTCAAATTTCCTTGGTAAGTTCTTATCCCTTCCCTCCTTTTGTCTCATTGGCTAACCAATACGTCTCCTTCCACTAGAGTTCCTCACTTCAATCAATGAACAATCGTTGCTCAGCCTCTACTTGAATTGTGTCGTGAGTTTTTTTTTCTTTAAAATTTTACCTCCCATCGGATTTTTCGAGTGACATATTTGTGCCGTTGCATTGGGGTGCGTCATTCAATCGCAGATTTGTTTGTTTTCGTACAAATTTCTGTATTGCAAATTGCTTTAAATTTGGGTCAAATACAAGACTTATTTTCTTTTGGGAGACAAATGTTTCAAGGAATTCTACCAAATGCATTTTTTTGACTGTATCAGAAGTATTACCTCATATTATTACCTCTCATTTAACATGTTCGCTACCAGCCTCATATGTGCCACCATTTTTTAAAAATTGAACTCACTGCCACAAATATGGTGGGTGGTTGCACTAAATTGTCCCGTGAACAAATTGACGATTGACTCTCCTCTTTAACTCTGATAGTAAATATGTCTGTTCACCCACTCCTGTACAAGGAAGGGCAAGGTCTTACCGAATCGCACATGACTTCCTTCAATCTACGTCTTGATAACCTACCCTGCTGTTTCGATGCAGACTGCTGAGCTAATACTGAGGTATTGCAGGAAAAAAGTTTTGAGGACATTAGTATGATTTTCGGTCGTGGAACTCCCGACTTACTCAGCAAGTCTGCCACCTAATACAATATGAATGACATGTTCTTTGTTTTTTGTTGGGATTTGATAAGAGTGGACTGTCCACTTAAAGCCTAGTCATTTTTTATTCACTAGAATGGTCTCTTTTCACCTAGGCCTACCGCGTAAACTCGGAGGAGTTGATGAGTTCCATCACTTCTTCAACCACCGACGCCACCACCGCTCCTAGTACCACGGTCTCCAATGTTATTTCAGATGAAGGAGATGAATTTGGCAATGCTTTAGGATGGAACGAGAGCACGGAACAAGTGGAAAGGCTAGAGGTGGAGCAGCACGTGATGTCAGCCCAGGATCGTGAGACAATGGAGGGGATTCGTGCTTTCGGAGTTTCAATGTGCAACTTGGTGATGAAAATCCTGCCCCAGGTTCCTGAGGCGACGGTTCAACAATGTTTACGGAGTCTGACCACGCCTCTGGAATCAATTGATCCCACCGTGTTTGTGGATGTTGAAGAAGAGGTAGATTACAGTCTTAATTACTTCTGGACCACTCTATTTTTACAATAAGCTTTCAATACATCCTGGGGCCTTGCTCATTTTTTAAAGAAAAGAAGAGGAAAAAACACATTTCGAGACACTTCAAGTTCTGCTTAATCCTTTGCTAAATTACACGTCACAATTTAAAACTGCTCAGGCATAGAAACATTTGTCGGGATGCCTGAAGCATTCTAAGATAGTCTATCCCAAACTGCCACCCTTATCATCAAAAAGCTGTCTTGGCACCCACCACATGTTATTTTTTCGACGCTGTCCATTGTTTCCACAGCAAGATTTGTCTGCCTTACACATTTGCAGGGGGTTAATTATCAACTACGTACTCTAAGCTTCGACAGAATGTGGATCCCGCTTTTGCGGTTTTCACTGCCCCAGAGATGCGCGGTCACCTTTGAGGTGTTCAAGCTCCGAAACGCATTGTGTGGAGCCTTCTCTAGATATAAATAGAGAGAGATAAAGTCAAGTGGGCTCAGATCTGACGCCTTTTTTGGGGAGCAATTTCCTTCATAACAACACATTTTTGCCACATCAATTACTTTTTACGGAAGCATTTACATCAAAGCAAAATCATCTAATGAAATGCGGAATTTACAATGTTATTGGGGAGCAGTTTTTTTTATTTCTTTTCCTCTTCAATAGTGTTTAGCTGTCTATGTGTTCATATGCATAAACTGAAAAGCCTCGGTTTAATTTGAACACCAAAAGCATTGTTTCCCCTTTTGATTACTCCATTTTTCTTCTCTTTATCATTAGTTAATACGTCTGCTTTCCTCGGAACAATGCTTTGGAGCTTTCAAAAAGAGTCCCTTCTATGCCCGCGCAGTGGAAGAATTGGAAGTCTCCGACCTCACAGAGTCACCAAGACGTTTTGCAGCGAACAACGGTGAGGAAGTTCCAGATACCACTTGCTCATCGTCTATCTCTTCGTCATCGTCTCCGATACTAAGTCGCGCAGCTTCTTCTGCAGTGTTTAGTGAGTTTGCTGCTTGACGGCATTATAATGTGTTCTAGTCTGGAAGAATGCTTATTACCAACAGGCGAAAGGGCTTGCAGGCTATTGCCATGCGTGGTTTGTTTTAATCTCTTGTCATCGGTGTGAAAACCGAATCTTGAAAGATTGTAAAGCTCTGCATTTGTCAGAAAAAAAACATCTCAACGGAACATCAATCATTTAATGACAATGCTCAAATCAATCTGAGACTTGAATTCATGAGCCCTTTGTAAAGAACGTACTCTGTTGTGGTGTTACCAAGTGCAGTAGAATGTACTGCTTCTACTCGTGCCGCACGCGCTCACATCCTATCTAGACATCGTCAATCCATTTGGCATGCAACGGTGGCTGTCTTCCTCTCCATCTCTCTCTCTCTGGATGTGTGCGTGCATACTTGCAAAAGGGTGTGGTCAGGAACGAAGTTTCTTGTCAAATGAGGCTTTGAACCCGAACTCATGGATATCTACTTGTATTTACAGAAGAATTCAAGCACAGTATACTACGGTGATGAGCAGTGCAACAGCTCAGCCCATAGGTATGACATTTAAATGGCTCGAATGATGTCAACGTGTCAGTGGCGGTTGGCCAGTCGTGGTGGTTCCCAATTCACGGCAGTCGTTCCTGTGCATGCTCAACCATCACATGAAGCTTCCACTTTTGAATAATTGATCGATGCATGGGTTGTGGTGTGACAAAGTTCCCAAGAGATGCATCAATGTTACCACTGGCTTTCATACGATACTTTGGATGTACGGACAAATCATTCTGCATCGATGTTTTAGAACCATTTGTTGAACACTGCAATAAGTGGATAGGAATGTTAGGACACTATGTGGAAGAAAGAATGCAGTTTGTGATCCTCCTTGGTAAACCCATAAGTCCCCGTCTGATTTGAATGTCCTTCATATTACCAACAATAGGATAAAATTAAAAAGCGCATGACGGTTCTTCATTTGCAGTGATACAGGATCTAAAGCTAGCAGCAATATGCAAGTCGTCGTTTTTGGTAAATTTATCCGTCATTTGTTGCGTACTAACTGTGAGGTATTGACTAGAGCTGGACAAATTTCTTTCATGGACGCTCTTCATAAGAGGGCATACGTTTGAGAGGAGAAACCTGCAATGATATCCACGATTTGCAATAGCCTCTCCCAGGTATTTTCTCTATTTCTCATCACCTTTGACATTCAGTTGCTTGCCTTGCTGCAGCAGAAACTGAACTATGAGCATCTGTCAATTTATTTCCCGAAACGCTCGATTCTGAGGCTAACTGATCCATTTCGGTGTAAGCCTTCCCCGAAATGGTGTTGGATCTAATTCAACACACTTGAACCATCTCAGTGTTTAAGGTACCTCAGAACATACAGAAGGTCTGGAATGTTGTTGTAAGAAGTTCAAACGCAACTACCGCAAAACTCCACTAGCATCTTTAACTAACGTATTCAAGTGGAAGGAAGGCAGTGGGAGAAGTGAATGCAGGCTGCATCTTTGTGATCCTACTTTACTGGTAATGGCCTGCTTCTAGACAAGTAATAAAATACACTAGTTGTATCCAGGGTGATAGAATCCGGGGACCTTTTTTGCTGGGATGGATTATGCTTGCACGTATTTTTTGCTTCTTTCTTCAATTTGATTCCAAAAACTACTGCTTAAAATGGGCAAATGTGCTGTCTAGAGGAACAACATTCCAGTCTTTTCTATGTCGATCTGATGGGCCCCTGCCCATGCCACACGCGCTACTCATCTCTCAGCTCTTATTTGTGATCATTAAAGGGCCAACTCCAGATTCGTATGCCCTGAAGCGTCTTGTTATCAACTGCTATGTGCTGCCCTGGAATCTCAGTGTGGCTCCATTCCTGCCTATTTATATCTTTTTTTTGATTAGCTTTGACGCTACTGCGGTTAATAACTCATTTCAAATCTGTGCGTCGTTTTCTGGGGCTGCAGATATTTTCAGCTCTTAAGCTAGCGCCTAAATTACACTTTTATGCAACCCGCTTTGTCAGAAAACAGAAAACCCACCCCTGTCTACCTCCATCTCTAGTTTGGTCTTGTTTTCCAACTGCCTATTTCGCACACCTACTTGCGAGCTCAGTGCCAATACTTGGAGAAATAGTCACTAGATGAATAGGGGAGATATAATGAGGTAGGATATCCCTCCTATCCCATTCTAAAGCACATAAATTTTGCGGCGATGCAATTCACCAGTCTTGACTGTCGTGACTATTCTTTGCGGCTCTTAGCGCCGTGAAACCCACGGATAGATCTCAAGCTTAAGCCATTAAACAATTCCATCTACAGTCTACCACAAACAAGGAAGGGCTGCCATATTCTGTTGATAAAGTGGTTTGATGGGTAGTTGGTAGATCTTTGTCCGATTAGTGGTAATATGTTCGTTTGATTAAGATCTACCTGTGAAAGCCAGTCAGTCAGTCTTACCAGCGGTGTGGTGTTATGAGTCTTTGAAGCTGTTGTCAAAGCGTGTCATGTGGCACCCACTTTTCCAGCAGTTTCCATGACCTTCTCTTGCCGGTTGACGTAGGAGTAAGCAAATTGTTTCGTCCTTCCTCGCATTACTGTCAAACAGGCTGGACCACCATAGGTGTGTAATTTTTTTATGATTATCAAGAGCAGAGGCTTTTCCTCAACCTAATGCAATATCGCCTGGCAACGCATCATTACAGTCAAATTATCTGTAGATGGTAAATTCTCTTACCGTCTACCGCGGCCTATCCAACTGCCTTATGACAAATTGGCCAGGAAATACCGGTGGCTTTGGAACCAAACTGAGCTGGATTTATGAAGCCGACAAGTCCCAGTCACATCCATCGGGTTCCTTTACATTACCACTCCGCAGTATATAGATATAGTCACAAAGGTGGGAAGTAGTAGAGAATGCAATACAGCTTACTTTAGGGGGTCGCACTCACAGATTGAGATGTACGTCTGTTAAGCTCCTTTCCCATATGTTGCGCAAATTAATTCCAATAAGCGCTATAGAAACCATGCGAACTTTTCTAATGCTCTATAACGCTCATTTCCCCAATAAATATTTTTTTCTTGCTGGGAAAATATTCCCACTCAACTGAAACGCCTCCCATCTTTCAGTTGATTATTTTAAATTCAATTTGTCAGAAGGTGAACCTTGCTAGAGCGTACCAGCTTCATCCTTACCCTCTTGCGGTTATTTCCACCTCGTTTGGCTACCACTTAGTGTTGTAGAAGGCAACATTCAAAAGGGAAATGAGAGCTGTGTAATAAAATGAAGTATCTTGCTGTTTATTCCTTGTGCTGGTAACATGGGGATCTTTTATTCAAAGCCTCTATAACAGCAATATTTGTCCAAAGTGCACATTCAACTATACAAACTCTTCAATCTTTTTGAATATGGAGTTCTTTTAACCGTCAACCAGATCTGCTGCCTTCAGACTGATATAGCTTATTCTTCGTGAGAAGGGCTCCTTCGTATACCTTACATGGGGGCTTTAAAGTCAATACGGAGCTTTTAACTAGACCTGTGTAATGAAGGATGTTACCGTGCCGCGATCATACGCAGGTAGTACCGTAACATACCGTACTGATGGGCGCTTTATAATACAAGTATCTTTTTCTACAGGTTACAGGAAATCATTGCAGGCAGTTGCACTGAAAGTCGCATGGACATTTTTGGCCACTCGTTACCGATGAGATCCCTTTTTTTTAAATTGGACATTATTTGCACGTTACCCAACACACGTTTGTGGCTGTGTAGCAGGTCAATTTTGATCTAAATTCCCGTGTGTGGGTCAACTAAAATATTGCCCTTTTTCTCATTTTAGGCGCCTCGTCAAATTCATCTCAGGGCGCCCAGTCTCAATTCTATTCGGTGTGTTAATCCTGAAATTGTCGTGTCTACTTAGTCGCTTCAAAGATATGCAACCTTCGGGGCTTCTCTTCTGAAGCTTTTTCTCTTTTTTATTTTTTGTAACATTTCATAGTATTTCAGTGTTGTTATTGTTGTTTTCTCTAGAAAAGTTGCGAACGTTTTTACTTTTATTTACGAATGCCAACAAGCTACTAGTGCTAACAGGTACTAGACCACTTTACAAGCAGCTATTGAAGATTTGTTACCTGTGCAAATTAAGTCCTTTTAACCTTTGAAGTAAGGAAGGTTTTTGGTAGCGGATTAATAAACTCAAATCGCGATAAACATAAGGTTCTCTATTTAAATAAATTTTGTTATATAACTCTGCTTATTCTCCTCCATTTAAGTCATCATCTCCATCATCGTTTTATGCGGACTCCTACAGTGTGAATGTTCTTTCTGGTGGTGAGTTTGACCTTTTTCCCCTCAGCAAGCTGTTTTTCTCTCTTCAAGTGAGTTTGCGCATACCATTGGTCAGTTTTGTGCAGGAGATGATTCGCGCTATGATTGGTTGATGCAAATGGACTTTTGCATGGTCGCTGACCTGTCTTCCGAGAAGACCTAATTTAGGGGAAATAACATCCCCATTTGAGTCCCCATTAGCTGCATGGGACATTTTAACCGTGATTCTAGTTTAATTAGGCATATGTTTGGTGCCTATGATAAGGTACGGAAAGGAAATGTGGCTATCCCTTTCTCTGGTAACTGACCACATTTTTCACTAGATTTTGCACCTGTCAACAGAAGTGAGTTTAACATTGCTTTGTCTGCCTTCTGTTTATTCATTACTACCAAATATATCAGTTAATCTAACCAGGCATTACCCGCTGTTAACACAATCTGGTTTATTCGCATTCATTTATATACCTTCCATTCTTTGTGACTTGTCAGCAATTGAAAGTGAGTTTAAATTTCATCGACTTTCGGAACAAGGTTAAGCATTTATCAGGATGATGGGTCAGCATTGGTGTACTCTAGCAAACAATGTAGGTTCTTTTTTCTCTATTAGATGCATTGCATAAAAAGAAAAGTAAGTGTAGCTGAAATCAGTTTTTTTTGCACTTATCACTCAAAGCAGCCTCCTAGCCGCACATATCTTTGTTTTGGCATTCTTTCCAGGTTTATCCCTAGACCATGTGAAATTAAAAGAGACACTTCTGTCCTCTTTACTTTGTATTAAATCCTTGCATTCATCATATGCATTTGGAAGTGTTATTCAACAGTCGTGCTGTTCAAGTCGGGACTACGGGGTTTCTTTCAGGCAACACTCAGTATCAAGGAATGGGAGCTAGCTTTCTTTTCCTACAAGGTTCTCCTCCTCTACTGAATTTGTGCACTTCTCGCAGTTTCTAACTACTGCCTAGAGGATAGCTTTAGTATAATAATGCTTGTTTGAACGATCAGAGCATCCCTGGACGGCCTGCTTTGCCTCTGTTTTGATACCCAGTATGCACAATCTCACGAAAGTTGCAAATGTTTGTTAATGACTGTGTTCACTATTCTCCTTTAAAAGGTTTCTTCCTGTGTATGCAATCGCATAACTTGTTATTGCGTCGGCCCTGCGTCCATGATTAAAAGTTGCGGTTGCTGAATCTTTCTTTAAAGGGATAGTTGCCCGGATTTTTACTGGAAGCGCAGCACTGCGGGAATTCAGATATCCCTTCGTTAAAGATTAAAATGAAAACATTTGCTTTTCTGTTGCGAGTTGCCATAGTTTTAATCATCTGCAGACGATATCCTCCTTCCGTTCTAACCGGTCTACCAATTTTGATAAAGATTTTTTTTAGAGGACCGGTAAAAGAGGTCACATTCCTCACACTTTGTAAAAGGGGTCAGACATATGTCATTGAGTTATAACGATTTGTAGCTTTCGTGTTTTTCTGAAAGCATCCCCAAGCATGTGAATCTCCTTTCTCAAAAATTGTATAAAAATATTCTGTCCGCCTCTAGAAATGGTTCGTGATGGTTACGTTGTCTACACCTTGGAAGTGACTTATCTATCCTCCGTCTCTGGCCGTAGATCCGTCTGGAGGACCTATCGTCGGTACAGTCAGTTTGACGATCTGCACTCATGCATCATAGAACAGGTGAGCTGACAAAGTACTCTCGATATATTCCCGTATTCCTTTTTTTATGCTCCTTTCTGCTATCGTTAATTTTTTGTAATGCAGTGCGGAAGGATTCCAACATTGAAGTTGCCCAGTAAGAAGTCCTTCAGCAATATCAGTCTGGAATTCATTGAAAAACGACGTTTGGAGTTGGACGAATATCTAAAAGTAAGGCTTCACCTGAATACATCTTCACAAATCCCTAATTTTGTCCTTTAATTATCGCTTGGATGGTTGATAAATCGCCGTCGACTTTACTTCCAGATCTTAGTCTGTTTTAGATATGACCATGTGGACTGAATCACGGTAGCTTGAAGTAGGTCTGTATGGTCAGTTAATCTGGGCATCCACGTCCCCTCTGAAGACGTTATTAGGTGTGGAGGTCTGAAGCTAATAAGGTGTTGACGGGATTGACATGAATGAAACGTCAAACTACCGAAGAGTAACTAATAATGCTTCTCATGCCTTAAGTAGGGTGAGCACCCGATCCTTTTAACTTCTTTTTGATATATAGGTTTAATTCTTTTCAGGTTCTCTGTTCCATTGATGCCAGTGGCAAGTACCCGAAGTTACACCCCATCCTGACGAGTTTTCTACAACCCGAGAAGTGGGAAAGAAGGAAGGCTCTTCATCCCGGTGTAAATATGATAATCTATTTTCTCTTTTTTGTTTATACTAAATTTCTTGGGTGAAACTTTTTTGATATTTTGCATTTATTTTTTCTGCTGGTCTTTTTGTCCAACACCTTTGTCATTAGCGTCACATGTATGTGACACGAGTCATTTGTCAGTTTAGGATAATTGGTTGCGTGTAATTTTGTGTTAAAAGCGAATTGTTTGAGTGCGGAAAAGGTTACGGCGGATTTTTTTGTATGAGGAGGATATTAGCATTCTGTTGTAATTCTTTTTTGCCCTATTAGGCGAATAAAAATTTGGGGTGTGAAGGTTGATTTTTTTCTGAGAATGTTACAACGAATGCGTCCAGTAGACATTTTTGTTAAATTCATCATCGGGATTTTTCCTGACCTTTCTTCAAACACAGAAATGTAAAAATTATTATCCCTTCTCCAAAGGTACATAATCTTACTTCAAATTCCACCTTTTCCCTTCAGAAACAAGATATCTGGCACGGCTCTTTGGGGGTTAAATGGCGCTTTGGAAGTGTGAAAGTGGGCAATTGATCGTTTAATGGATAACCGGTGATATGTAAAAGCAACTTTTCCCGTCACAGGTCAGTCGGTCGACCTAGAATGCACAACGCGTTGTCACGGCTCACGCGAAAGAGGTGGAGAACAAAGTGATAGTCTTTAAAGCTTGCTTTCATTTGTTAATTCATCGTATACGGTGTCTGTTTGCTTGCCAGTTTCCACTACTTTTGTCGCTATTGATGAAGATGTAAGCTGAGTTTTTCGTGATACTTCAATTTCGAAGTAATATGTCAGTATTGCCGCACACTCCTTCATCCACAATCCAATTGGTCATTTAAAACATTTGTAGTCGGCTCGTTCTACTACCACGCCTTCATTTGATGCTTTGTAACAAAAGTGATGGGAAACGCTTGTGGCACCTTCGGAGCCTAATTAAGTGGGCTTTGTGAAGTAGAAAGGCTCAAATCTTATCCAACGTGTTCGGCCATCACTTGACGTTGTGAGAGTTTCAAATAAGGAATGAGTCGTGGAGAGTACTATACGGTGGCCTGGCAGTAGGACTTAACCTATCCCAAGCCTTTCGTCCATGTACTTCATTCAATCAAACGGAATTGTCCTTCTCTAGGTCTCTTCACTGATGAACCCATTAAAGGCAATGGGTTCTGCGATCATCTCAGTACCAGATTCACTGTTTGATGGCTTTTCGAAGATGATAAGTCGACGTCAACCATCTGATCGATCAGATGTCAATGGCAACGCACAGACCACCACTGCAGCGACAAGTAGCACAAATTCGCGTTTCTCTACTTCCAGTGACACCTACACCTCTAACCTCTTCATTCTTGACCAGGTAACCAACTTATAGTCTGGAAGCGCGGTTTCACATTTCTGGTTTTCTCTGGATAGTTTCGGAATCGGCTGTATCTCGGGTTTTTGGGCCATTGCTAAAAGGAGACTTCATTAAGTAGAGGAAGAGGCTGTTTTGTCCGTAGACCCAGTCCTTCGTCTGCGATTTTTTTAACTTTCTATTTCTGGGGTAGCATGTAAGTAATTTCAAAGTGGTGATTGCGCTTTTGCCACTTTGCCTAACAAATAATACCAATTTTATCCAATACCTTAACCTGTCTAGTTCATAGACTATTTTTCTATTAAGTGCAAGAAAATGTCAGAAGTGGTGAAGTTGACTGCCATCTGTTTCGGAGCAGCACTTTGATATTTCCTGATCCTGCACCGAAGGAGATATCTTTGTAAAAAAACTTGCATTCGTGTTTTGGTGTGTCATGTGAATCGGTAAGATGTTCAGCAGCTCAGTCGTAGTAAGACAATTGAGTAATATGGTTGGTGTTGTCCTGTAAACGTCCAATACTTGAATCTTGGTGGATGCATTGCTTGACGTAGTTGCAAAAGCAACGTATGCCTCTGTGTTAGCGGTGAAAACAATAAAATCATTCACAAAAGAACAATTTTTCGTAACCCGAGTGATTTAGGATGCATCACTCGAAATGGCAAATCTTTCCATTTCAAAGCTACCTTCCATTTGTTGGTTGAGATTTGGATTAAGTGTTTGAATGCCATTGGAGGCCAAGTTAGTAGTAAGTTAAATTTTTCTTGGTTGACCTTTGCTCTTGTCGCATTCCAGTAGAAATTTGGGGAACAGCACATCTTTCCTAATGTTTAGGGCTCTATTTAACCCTAAGGATTGCCTCCTAGTACTAGCTTATGAAATGTCAAGGATATCCGTAAAAGATTTCTCTTAAGGTTTATTTTTAACCAAGACAAATGGACACTACTTTTCCCACTTAATTTACTTGTCTGAACCAAATCTGGTATCATGAGATCGTGATTGCATTTTGATCCCAATACAAGCCTTAAAAGCTGTGCGGCTGTCTTTTGGTTTGGGTCCTCGTTTTTGACGCTCTATGAATGGTTGATTGTGATGTTTACACAAAGTCTCGCACGAAAAATTCCCAAAATATTCACCATACGCTTTGTGTGTGCTGAAAGGGATAGCTCCTTTTCAAACCTCCTCTCTCCCAAATATGATATTTCAACTCTCAAAGAAAGGCTTTATCTACGAGGCAATTTTTGTCGTCTACACCTTTAAGGGGCATGAAGATCTTTTCATTCACCAAGTTCTAGGCTTCCATTATGATCATACCGGAGAAGGTATGCGCTACTCTCTTGGCACATGCATAAATGGAGGCTGCACGCACAGCACCTAACACCTCGAGAGGAGTTTTGACGTGGAAATCTCAGTGCTGAAATTGTAGAATTATTATCCAGACACTCCTTCAGCGCTCAGCTCTTCTCTACTGGTCAAAAGGCAAAAGCGGTTGCGGCTGCAGAGTGTGTTAATGATTGTGTTGAGTTTACCTTTGCCACGGGGACATTCATCTCTTGTGTAATCCAATCGGACATGTTCATGGAGATAAATGATTGCTGTGTAGGAGAGCTGGGAATAACCGCGATCAGGATCGTTACTGATGTACAGACGTCTTGGAAAAGTTGACACTATTCAAATCGCTTAAATGTTGTCCGACAGCTGAGTAGCTGAACGTGCTACCGTTGTGCCGTAGATACGAACAGGTATCCATCGCCTCCTACTTGACGCCTTCGTTGACGAAGGACTTCACTCCTTATTACATCATTGTATGCATCCATTGTTGCCTGTCGTCTTGATTGACAGTGGTGCTGCGTGTAGTAAGTCTCCGTTTGATTTGCCATTATGCTGTCTCAGATGGTAGATGTGCCATTACGATCGGTGAGATAAACGTGATTTTCTTCGCCCTCTACAAAGTGCATGGATGCTTTCACCACTACTTGAAGGAAGGCTTCTCTCTAAGTTGATCGGCTAGTTGTCATTAGAAGGTAGGCACACAATGTGAGTGGATGAGTCTACAGTGATTTCAAGCAGAAGGGCTGTTATGACCTCTTCAACCTTGAACAAACTCTCACATTTGCAAGTTAATTTTGTAGTATTATGAAGTTCTGGAGCGCTGATGACGCGGAAAGATGGAATGAGGTTGAGAGGAAATTCACTTTTGCACATTAATCCATAGGCTTTACCTTTTTGACGTTTCTGTGAGATTTGCTTCCCGTCGATACTAAGCCTGTACTCATTTGCTTAGTTTCTTCCAAGTCTCCCCTCGCTGTAGACGTAGGCGTACACTGATCATTTCGAGATCAGTCACCTTAAACATGATTGGAGTTCGCTCTTGACAAATTAATCTTCAGTAAACTTGTCAATTTATCATTTGGTGTTCAATCGCCACTGTCGATCTCCAAGATGGTGACATTCCCCTTTGATCGGGTCTTTTTGTTTGTTGATAATAGATACGTGTCTAAATTGTGCGTTTTGCCGTCTTTTACGCGCTGGAAAGGCTCAAATAAGTTTGTGACTAGGTGTGGAATTCTGGTGTTTTAGCCACAAGTCTCTCCGTGACTCCATGCTGATTGTCTTATTTAACTTTAATGTTTAGACGGACTCGGACAACATTCCATTCCGCCTACTCTTCATGCTCGTCGACGAGGTGTTTAGTCTGCAGCGCAAGACGCAACTCTTTCGTCGTGGTGCCCTCACTATCCTGCGCAATATCGTGCAGACCTTCTTTGGGGACATCATGAATCGTCGAATCGTTGAAAAGGTGTGTTGAATTATTGGCATTCCAATTTATCATCAAGTATACCATTGAATAACCTCTCTATAAAATCATCCATGAGTTAATTCTACATTAATGCATGGGAAATGCTCCGGACAAATCGGGACTTCAGAGGAACCATTTCATCACTTATTGCTCTGGGGCACATTAGTACTCGTAGTATCTCAGCCGCAGCTCAGTCTAATGAAGACTTCGTTATTCAAGATGACAGAAAACAGCAGCCGTGTCGGCGTGAACTTATGCAAAGGACTTTCTCATCCATGAAGGCGTCAAATGCAAAACCGGAGGATTCAATACACTGCACCACGGTAGTGGTAAGGCGAATGACTGGTTTGACTGGTGTTGACGCCTTAAAGGCAGCCAGCCGTACGTTTGTGCGTCAGTGACGATCTGGACCGTGGTGGGTGCCTTACCTGTCGAGTGATGCAGTTATACAAGAGGCGAATATCTCTGTGACAACGGTGAGCAAAACGCACTCAGTCAGGAACATTATCATTTACCCTTTCAATAAGTTAGCACATCCTCCAGCCGAAACAATCTTTGCCCTTTGATCAGTACAGAAGAATGGGGCATGGCACTGATTTTAGGATTAGTGTAATCTTAACACTCCCCCCTCCCTTCTGCTCCTTTGTCATCCCGATGCAGCACTCTTACCTATCTGGATTGTCCTCAAATTTTGATGCGATGGACAAACCACTGCTAGTGCTTTTCATTAATGAAATCGTTTTATTCAAGCTGGGTCATCTTTTACTGCAAAAACTCGACTCGTTGACAATAGCTTCTCAACCTTCGGTAATATTTCCTTGGTACCCAAATTCGGCTGTTCACTATAACAACCCCTTTCTTTAGTCAGTCAATCCACTTAGGTTTATGTCAACTTGGTGATATCACGGTGCATGCGAGGCTAGCTACTAACATGGGGTGTGATTTACTTCCTGAAGGTAGTTTAAGATTCACACGAGTCTGGATGATTTATCGTAGGTTTGTTTAAATTCAGTCCTACTTTGGTAGTTGTTTAAATTCGACGCAACTTCAATAATCCTTCCTGTTGTTAGGGCTTCACACACTCAGTCATCAACAGCAGACGCCTCCCTTTCACTGTTCAACAACGCTAACCCAAATCTAGCGGTCGAGTTCTCCTTTGCAAGATTATCGGAAATGTGGAGTTGAAAGTGGCTTTGCCATCAATTGAGATTGATCATGCAGATGGATCATACTCAATGACTTTCAAGGTCATTTTTGTCACTTTATGTGTCGATTATAGGGAGTAGGTAGCCAGAAAACGCATGCATTTGTTTACTTACAAATGAAGGCATGTCCTCTTATCTATGCTGTGCTTTACAAACACCCCTTAATGTGTGCTTTTTACTGTCTGTCTGATATTTTTTAACACACCCCTGCATAATGCCGTGCCAGTTAAAATAATCTAATGGGTGTCACCCAAGTTTTGCGGTTTTATAAGCAACAGGTGACAAGGAGTTTCGGTAACTATCGCTACACTGTTCATTTCTACCAAAAGAAGGGTTTTTGTGTCGACCGACTTGCTTATGGCAATATATGAATGATTAGTACATTGCACAGTTACACCATCTATCATGGCGTGGGTTATCGCCAAATTATCCGGTCATAACCCCTCCCACACTTCAAAGACGCATACTATCCAACAGCCGAGAGAAAGTGCTAGTCGTAGCCGTAAAGGGATGGGAAAGCCTGTGTCACCTCATCCTCTGACTTCCCTTGATGATATTTTCCCAAAGTTAAAAACCATCACCTTTTCTTGACACTTGACCATTGCATGCCAAGTAGGCATGTGAAAGGGAATAGACTGTTGGAAAAATGCAAGTATGATAGAAACGGAGGTAGAAAGGACCTAGTTCATTGTTACTATTGTTGTTCGCTGTGTATTAATCGGGGAAGCGGTCGGTGTCCTTTTTTCATTCGAGAATTTGCTTGGAGAAGGGTTTAATTGACCACTTATGTGAAATGTGGATGCCATTGGTGAATTTCGTATATTACTGATTTTTCCAAGTATCTGATCCATTTCAATTTATCTACAATCGTGTTGAAATTTATCAGAGGTCGATGTCTCATTCCCTGTCAGGCAACCCTGGAATCCCACCAGGTGTGGATGCATTTATTCCAGCCCTATCTGTCTATTATCCTTCGTATCCACTTGTCTCTGATCCGACCCATCGATCCACTCTTCTAAAACCTTTTAATCGCATCCATTTATTCATCCCGATTTCATGCATCACTTTGCTTTAGGCGAAACATCTAATCAGTGCGAAGAAAATAGCAACCTACGCAGAGATGTTTCGTGATGTCGTCTGGCCCAATGGCTCCCAGGTGAATGGGCGTTCGGGGAATGGTGACACAGAGGAACCACCAATCCGGGATGAGGCCATGAAACTGAGGACTCGTGTCCTCTGTCGTGCTGTTATGTTTGGTAGTGTAGCTGGTGAGTTTTCAGTGAAATTTCGTGAAAAAACTGGCCAATAGAGTTTTTCTTTATTTGTGTACGATGTGATAAAATTGGCTTTGGGATCGCCTTCTACCCGATAGTCAGTTAGCTGAACCTCACTGATTTAAATCCATCTTTGCCTATATTGGAACTGACCTTATATTTTATTCCATTAGTTTGCAAGTACCTAACTGCTAGGATGCTGTTAGTTCGAATGCCTTAAGCAGGGGCGTTTTCGTGCACACTTTTGATTGGTTCATTCCAATTTTTTCTTCCTTTTTACTGCCTCTAATGGTATTTTGAATCTCTGCCAATCCTACCATTGAAGCAGATACTATCCTGCTGTAGAAACCACTCCCTCCTCTCTAGAGCATTAATAGAGGCGAGTGTATTTTACTGCGAATCCGGCCAAATTATTATCCGCTTTACTTCTAAAGAAGAGTTTGAAATTAGCTTTATTGTAGGGGTGTTCAAGTCAAATTGGGACTCGTGGGTTTGCAGATTAAAGTACACGTCCTTTTCGGCCAATTTACGGATGGTCAGCTTTACTGGAACATCAGTGTTAAAGTTATGGCATGATTAAGGGAATCCTGTCTCTCCTTGTCAAACTGCTCCCTCAGTTCTGTACAGAACTGAAGGCGTTAGTTCTGGAACTAAAAGTCACGACCTGATATAAACAGAACAGCATATCAGGGTCGGATCCTGACTCATGGATGACTCAAGCGATCGTTAAACATTAAATGTTGCCCTATTCACCTTCAGAGGAATTGGCCTCGTACCTTGGCGTGGAGACGACACGGGAGGGTGTTCAACGCGTGTTTGATCTTCTTCAACAACCCTGTCTCAATCGGCGTCTCGTGCACTGTCTCCTTGAAGGCGTCACACGTCTTCTACTGCCCGAATATGCTGATCAGTTGAATGATATCTACGCCCAGGACAACTGTCGTTCTACGTGACCTCTGCATCCAACTCCTCTCCACCCCTATTTGTCTAGTGTCTTTCTGTGACTTTTTTTTCTTTATCTCATCTACTTGTTGACATCGATTGTTCTTTTTAAGCATTGGTTACCTTGTCTGTGAATAAATCTGTCAGAGCTGGGTTGCTTTTTACCTTAAACTTGGTGTGGATTTCGTTTCGCTTTGAATAGGCCTCAAAAACCAAGGGTCTACTAAGACCGCATTACACTCATCTGATTGTCATGATCTTTGCGCTTCTTCATTCTTCTGGATTGGTACCCCGTCACCTATGCCCTACCAATCATCATGACCTTAACTAAACCATGTGACTCACTTTCGAAAGATCTCTCATTACGCTTTCGAGTTCTTCGTATTGACCTGAGTGTGTTAAATGCAGCTGTTTTCTTGCTTGAGATTGGATCATGTCTAACTTCCAACCATTGTAACCAGAAGACTTCAAAATAGGCATCTTTATTCGTGCATGGCCGTGTTTTGGCAAGAGGAGTCAGTATTCTCTGGATTGTATCATTACACGTGATCAAACCTGGATACAGCTTCCCAGTGGGGAATTAAAGTATGCTGATCCGCCTCAGAGAAGTGGTGACTAGCGTTGTCCTATCTGGCGCTTCTTTCTCCCGTTTTCTATGTAAATTTTGCACTCGGCTGAAGCAGAAACAGTGTCCAGTTTGATAGTCAGGATTGTCCCTTTTCTTCAGAACTACGTAGGCTCTTTCACCTCAAGGTTACAGCAATCAGACGTAATCCACCCGCCCACTGAAATGGCGTTTCTATCGTCTCTATCGCTTGTCCTTTCGATTTCTTCCTTTTTCTGCACCAAGTGTCCCACCAGTGAAAGGTCAGGAAAAGGCTTGCCTTTTCTAGATAATTCAACCGACGTTAATCAATGGTTATCTTCAATTTCTCCGCCTATTTTAACTAGAGGCGAAGTTGCGACTCAATCACGTTTCCCAGACGCCCCTCATTTGGCCCTAACTCTTCCCCTGCCTTTTCAGACACTTTTCTAGTAGTTGTCTTACCGATTTTCAATGCTTTTTACTGTCCTTCCTCCATGCGGTCATTTTAATCTTGTGTGTACCCTCTAAGGTCACAAAAGGCGTAGATCACTGAGTGATCACCATGGTAATAGGGTTTGATAAAACCCTATCGTGATTTGGCCTTACCTGCCTGCTTTCAGACCTATAAAGCTACGTGTCCTTGTTGAACATGGCTGCCCAAATGGTGTATTTTTAAGGTCATGACAACCGTACCTACGGTTTGTTTACACACGGAGGAGTTCCCGAAACCTCTATTTGTGGTGGCAATAAAAAAGTTTTGGATCCCAGAATATTGAAGTAGTGGACTAGGATTCGATGTTTGACGTTTACGCTGGTCACTATCACGCATTTCGTAGTGAGTGAAGGTGGATTGTAGGTGGATCACTTCTGTGAGCAATCTTGAGAAGGGTGGAATTCACTTCCATTACCCTCCAACTCAGTGAATTAACTTTGCTGTCATTGTAATCTGGTACACTCCACTATCTTTCTTCTGTCTCTATGTTGTCTCCAAGTAGAAGTAACAAAGAAATCGCCGGTTCGAAGGTTAAGTAGTAAACAAGTCCCCCTTCAAATCATCCTGAGATGTGAAAATATCAAAAACACGTTTAATGCTGTCAAGATGGCAGATCAGACCACTAATATGACCCCTCTCACTTCTTCCTCTCCTTTCTTCTTTCTTCCCTTCCACCATCATCGCCTACGAAGTTTGACACCTCCACTCTTGCTTTGACTTGCAATCGGTTGCCATGCGAACTACACCATGATGGCCCCGCATCTTTGCAAGAGTTTCACCCACTACTGATAGCACATGTAGCGGTTGGTTCGTTGATCTTCTCGGGGTTTCTCAACATCGTGCCTTCTGCTAGGTAGGTGAGCCACGTCGCGGAGGCATCCACTTGGGTCATCGTCTCCACTGCTGCACGATGTTTCACAGCGAGCTCACACTGTGTGTGTATGTGTGTGTTAGTCGCCTTCCGTAGTGGCATCTGTCCAAAAGCAACATCAGGATGAGGGCTATCATATTCTTACACCACAAAACAGGTGGATTAACTTGGATCCATATGGTCAGCCTTTATTTGAAGTCACTTGCCATTCCTCGAAACTGGTTCTCACCATGTACGTACCCAATTTGTCAAGCATCGGCTTAGATATCTTCGACACCGGATCGTAATAAGCCAACTGTGTATGGTGGGAGATTTACTGTTAGCAGGCAGGTCGGAGAGACTGTGGACATACCTAGAAAGGCATACTGTGAGGCACAATGGCAAACCAAGGAGAGTGAGGATGCCGCTGAAGATGTAATAAATGAGAATTTTAACTTAGTCACCGTATTCACACACTTTTAGTTCACTTAGTTCGATTCTGAAGGAGGTTCCTCTTGTTGCCTTATACGTAAATAAACGCGGAGGATCGCAATCAATCACGTCTGCAATGTTGGGCTAGGCTTTGTTTTTACGTCCTACCTATTATGACGGGTACTTCCCGCGGGTTCCTCTGTAAACAAGGGGTGAGAGAAAGGCGCTCTTTTTTGTTCCTCACACTCCATCATTTTTAGGCAATTCATGCGCCAGTTTTTTAAGTTGCCTTATTGATGTCAGTCATTTGATATTAAATATAATTAGAATTCCGTTTGGAAATAAAACTGGCAAGGCTTAGAATTTTTTGGGACAGTAAATGCAAATTGGTTTATTACCCACGCACAGGAAGATCCTACTGCAGCGCCAAATTTAAGAGGTACCTCTCCAGCTCTGGAGCCGAGTCCATCTACACGCATGAGGCAGGCAGAATCATTTCAAATGCATCCGTCAGCTTCTACCAGCAGGTGAGGTTACGCATTCTAATGAATTCATACAACAATTGCTTGTGCTTTACTACGCCCCATGAATTACACCGAGGTATAATGAATTATGCACCATATTTTCTTATTAACTTCGAGTACAGATTATAAAATTTTTACTTTAGAGCTCGAAGAAATCGTCATTTACGATCTGGTTACGCTAAATGTATATGCGCGATTAACCAATGACGGCATCCACATTTCTTCTTATGTCCTGTACAAAGCGTACTGTTGCAAAAATCTCATCCAATCCGTTTACGACATAGTTTGGTGCAAAAGATTGTTGTAGGATCATAAGGACTACGTATCCCTTATTGGTAATGCCGAACTTAGTAGGCCCGGGGCGTCACAGAGGTGTGACACCAGCAGTAAATATAACAACGGTTTCGAAGTTTTGCTGAAAGCAATCGTTTTTTAAACCAAATACTCATTTGTTTGAAATTAGGAATAAAAATGACCCCACACCACGTCATGAACGCTTAAAGTAACAATTGGACTCTCACGAATTTGTTTTAAATGACGAATTCGTCCTCAGGCATAATTATGGCAATTTGTTTTACATATTGTAACTGCGATGGCGTAGAATTGTAAACCAAATGAACAAAGTCACCATTTTTTATGGGCAACGATAATAAATTGTGCAAAATCCCTTGCGAAATTGGATTATAGATTCCATATTAAACATTAAAATGCCTTCTGCTCCAGGTGTATCCTTCGCCAAAGAATTTGAACAATGCTTTCTTTAACTTTCTTGAATCCTGTCATTTTAAGTCAAAGTTAACAAGTAGGTAAAAAAGCCAAGTTTATTACCAGCATATCGGAGAAACGTCTCAAATTTTCGAGGATGTGAAATTGTAGCCAGGTAACGGCGGCACATGGAAGCAACAGGTTTTGACCTGTTCGGTGGCACAGCACCTTGGCCTTACCGTGGAGCGGTTCAGATTATTACAAAGTCCAAGGAGGATCAGGAGCACTGCAGAGATTCGGGTTTTATTGGTGATGTCACCCCGATGTCAGCAATAAAGAATCCATAGAACGCCAATCGACCTCTCCTTATAATAAACTGCTAAATCGTGTAATTATACAATCGTTGCGTATTTCAGTTTGCTTTAAGGTTTTATGAAATTTTTCACCTAGGTCTCATTCGCTTAAATACGCCTCAAACATAGGGATGCTACATACTCTATATGGATAAGGCTATTGCACCGAGGCGCTGAAAAATAGCTGACACCTTGACCCCAATCCATTCGCCTACCATTAAAAGTGCACCAGCTTTTTGACAACAACTTATTTTAACACACCTATGAAATCGCAGTTAACATATTTACCCATTCGAGAACTTTTAAGCAGGTAAACCTACCCTCTCAAAGTGTAATAACCGCTTTTAAAGCTATTCAACCTGTCCGGAGAAATTAATGTGAAAGGTTTGTCCTTTTAGCCACCCACGAATGTGTACTTTAAAAGTCAATCTGTACGCAAGGCATCGCCGCGTAGCAGCGGATTGGTTACCACAGGGGTAGTCAGATCTCTTTGGCAGATCAATGCGTTCTGAGAAACGGTTAATGATGCTGCGACAGAAGAATGAGCCTGTTTGCCTTCAAGTTGCTTTAAATCTTACACACAAACTACTTCAGGGTCATTAATTTGAGTGAAGCGGTCTATATTTCCCCTCAGATACACTTATTCACTTTGTTGATGGGATGACGGGACGTCGTTGTCAGTAATGGTCAAGCATGTCTATTAAATCGTGCATAATTATTGACGCATAAGATCACAAAAAAACCGTCTTCAAAAATAGGTGAAGTGAACCAAAAATATGCAAATAAAGTAGAGAGGGGTGACGCAAGCCGAAGTAATCTCTTCCACGTCACCGATTTGCAATCTGCACTTTACCAAGTTTCTAGTGACATCCTCACTCACCTTGATTTGTCCTTTCGCTTCAGGGCATGTCTTTCCGGATGCATCTACAGAGCCTCAGGCTTTCTGCTTGTTAATGGTGAATCTTCCACCATACTCGCTTGGGTTGTTGCGATATGCGTGGAAAGTGACGCTACTGAGACAGCCTTAGTGGCAGCGGTGAACGATGCAAATTCAAACAAGGAATAATAGCAACAGTTGTCATTGTCTAGCCATTCAGTGGAGACACTGGACAAGGAAGGTATCTGTTGTGCATACATGAAGTCGGAATAATTCTACTCGGCAGGAACGACTGGATGTCTATTTTCTAACCGGGTCGAAATCTCCATCTCAATCTCGACATGGAGATTGAGAAAGTGGGTGCGTCCTTAGCGAAAACCAGTTTCAAGGAATAGCAAGTGACTTCAAATAAAGGCTGACCATATGGATCCAAGTTAATCCACCTGTTTTGTGGTGTAAGAATATGATAGCCCTCATCCTGATGTTGCTTCTGGACAGATGCCACTACGGAAGGCGACTAACACACACATACACACACAGTGTGAGCTCGCTGTGAAACATCGTGCAGCAGTGGAGACGATGACCCAAGTGAATGCCTCCGCGACGTGGCTCACCTACATAGCAGAAGGCACGATGTTGAGAAACCCTGAAAAGATCAACGAACCAACCACTACATGTGCTATAAGTAGTGGACAGAGCTCTTGAAAAGGTCTGGAGTCGTCATGTTATCGTTCACATGAGGACTAATTACTAGCCAAAGCAGAAGAGCAAATGTAGTTAGCGCCAGAGATGACCACGACGAAAGAGGAGGAAGCGGAAGAAGAGGGGTTATGTTTTGACCAAATCGGTCGTGGGCGTTTCAACTGCCGTCTTAACAAGGTGGTTTACCAAACCCCACCAACATTAAACCATTTTCAGTATTAGCACACCTCATGACAGCTTCGGGGAGGACTCGGCGACTACACAATCCCGAAACTGAAAGCCTTCTGTCACCTCAACTGGAAGACTACTTGGGTGAATAAGAAAGGTCATGATGATGGCAGAGTGACTTTACTAGATCTGAGGCAACTGGAAACAAATGTTGTAACTCACCTTCGTGATAATGAAGTTTTATTTACACTGACATCCTCCTGTCGAGTTGGTCGATTGATTGCCGACTTTGCAGTCGAATTGCGCTAGAGGGAATGTTGCTTTTTTTCCACCCTTATGCACCACGTAACTACCGATGAAAGTGCTATTTTGTTACCTTCCCAAGCCATATGGACAATGTGACCTTGATGCCAGTTTGCACTTCGGATTAATCACACCCTCACTTCACATTATCCAAATCAACTTTGTTTAAAGCCAGACATACAGTCACTACCACCAGCTTTGATTCCACGTCAAGTACGTTGAATTCCCAAAATTGAATCGCAACTGGTGCTTTCTTTTTGTGACTTTAAATACAATCACACTCTATATGTATACTTAGGAGCATTGACGTCATGACAGTGAAACTATGGTGTCATTTACGCAAGACACACAGAAAGTCAGCTACCATACTGCCTCAGTGATTGGAACGTCGCAGGTTGATTGCAAGGGTTGATCGCCTGCACTCACCCCTTGCCGCTTTCCTGCCCCTGTGTTAACATTTTATGACATTAGTCTCGCTTTAGATTGGCTACTTTAAATCGGGATGAAAAAAAACTACACCGTGGTCATTAAGGTGGCAAATTCTCATGATATTTCGGCTTGCACTTTAGCAGACAAACAAAAAATAATCACGTGCGGATTTGCTGGGTGGATTCATAAGAGCTTACCAACACAACACATGATAAAATGCGAATACTAAAGCAAGCGGTTTCCTTTAATAGACTGACCGAATGAATGCAATGGATAAGGATCAGGTAGAAAAACATGCCTGCTTTGAAAAGATTATTAAAATGTGACTTTTGCGACTTTAATGTGATTGGAGTGGCCGCGATTCAGGTTGTTCAAAGTTAGTAAGATACAAACTGCATAAGAGAGAATTTCACGCAAAAAAAAAACAGAGCTTTAGCACTAACAACTACAGTTTAGTTTAGTGAATCTGCAGCCACTGAGAATGATTCATCGAATCCAGAAACAACACCCGTGCCAAAACTTCTTAAAGCGGAGGAGAAGGAGGAAGGAAGAACATCTATACTAATTTAACGATACGATTTGACAAGGACCGGACACTGTTCCAAACTTTTATGTAAAACATGGCAGCAACTTTTCGCATAGGCAGAGGAGTGCCCGGTGAGTGGCTGTTTTACCAAAGCAATATCCTGTCTATAAATCTAGAGCACTAGGCGGGAAGCTTTAAATTGAGATTTGTGCATGGTAATTCCCAACTTTTGAAGCAATAAAATCACGAAAAATAAAGAAAAAAAAACCTATTTATTCGATCTCATTCATGTGATCTAATGCTACTAAAACGGCAAATCTAGGCAATCCTTGCTTTCAACTCAAACTCAAGTATTTCTCACAATCAAGACATAATTTACCCACAGGGAGTGGAAATACCTTCTAATTATACACCTACTTTTGCGTTTCAATGTACTCATCCAACTTATATAAACAAGAGATGTCGTAAGAGCACCATTTGAGGGACGATAAACGCAAATCGAAGTGTGCATTGGATTAGGTAATCATGCGCTTCACGAGACACCACGAAATGTGTACTTGCCACTCAAGTACCTAAAATTCAACACAAACACCTGCATGATTCTATACAATCTCGTGATTATCAGACGAAGAAACAAGAAACAATTCAACAGATGTCTTGAAGAACAGTAATTCATTTCAAAACGAAGTGTCTAAGCATGTACTAGCACGAAGACACTTTATTCACAGTTACTTACAGACCTCCGCAAGTATACGAAGGATCATTTCACGTGATATTGAGTCACAGATGATAAGCAGAGAAGACAGGAGCCAGGGAGACAATAAATGTGTAAAGTTAGGAAAGCCTAAACACACACACACACACACACACACACACACACACAAACACACGCAGGATTCGAATTATCAGCTACAACAGAACATGACATGATACAAAGAATAGGGAGGGGGACAGATCAGAAAATAAAGCCTTCAAACAAGCGAGCATTCACCTCTACTTTGTCTCTATTGTGCCTTGCAGTTTTCCTTCCTTTCGTTGCTGTAAAGAAGAGGAGAAAAGTCCGTTATTAAACAGAGGTACTTAGGTAACACTGAGAGGGAAGGGGAACGTGCACCTTATCGAGATCCAACTTAGTCTGCTCTTCCATTCGACGAATATCTTCCATCGAAAGCCCATGCCATTTGTCAATATTGCAGAAAAGTTGACGGTGGAAGGTGTGGAAGAGCCTCAGTTCGGTCTGAAAGTGGAATTAAATAAAAAATGATATTGATCGCTCAGTTGCGGCGCGATCCAACTTATTTCTTATGAGGATACTTTGACGCCATGTGTACAATACCATGGCGAGATCAAGGTCACAGGAATCAAAAATATGAGTGCCTTTGATTGCTATGTAGAGTCAACGGAAGAAATGATCAAAATGCGTGAAAACAATGAAATTAGGCACCGATACAAGGCACCAATAACTGGTGGGGATAAAATCCGTTGTCCCACTCTACATTTCCCGAGACAATAAAGAGAATACTGCAGACCTTTTCAATGGGTCTAGAGATTGGAGTAATTAGGATGGCAGGAGCAAGCGACAATTAATGTTTATATGACCAATAGCCAGCGGCTTAACATACGCCCAAATTCAACTATAATGAAAACCTTGTTAATAAACTTACTTTGGCAATATAACTCTCCACGAGACCTTGGATACCAAACCACCGGAAATTACAGGTCACAAGTTTATAAGCACACATTATTGGCATATCAGTTTTCTATAAGAAAGAATAGAATTAATAAAGAAAATAAAATCTGAATAAGGGGAAAAGGGTCCTACCTCCCACCACCGCGGTCCAACAAGGGGACCACGTCCCGTCGTCTTGGACTGAAACGTTTTTGGATCCCATTCCGGTCTGACTCCGCCTTCCAGATCAGCAGCAATATCGACGTAAATAACTTCTCGTTTCGCTAACATATCCGGAGGCAATTCGTGCACCTGAATAAGCAAATGGAACTATTTGAAATATACTGGCAAAGAACGATTAAAAAACGGAGGAGATAAGCATACATTATCGATGTCGATTTTATCCTGGACATGCATTGTCTCCACCTTGAGGAAGAAGGCATCTTTCATGTAGCCATTCTGTAAACATAAAAGCCATGACGGCAGCTTAAAAACACCCAAGCACATTGACTCAAAATTCAACAACTTCAACAACATAGACTACAGCAGTTTTTAACTGCAATAGAAGTTCAAAACATTAAATATCGGATAAAAGCAGTGTAAGAACAATGGGGTCTAAGACAATAGCATCGCGAATAGACTTCGGTTAAATGTAGCGAAAAAACCCACCGTGATCACTGTTCTGCAGTACGGATACGCATTCCACGCCTTTTCCGTAACATTAAGAGCCTCTCCAGGGGCTAGAAGACGGATGAAACTAGGAACTTTGGAGGCCAAGTGGTAAATTTTGTGTGTATACTGTCCACTTGAGTAGATTCCGCCACCTGGAAGTTCTTTTTCTGGTGCGTACTGAGATCCAAGGCTAAAGGGTTCATTCACTAGGATCTCCACGCCGTCGCCACCACCCGTTTCGTCCTTGGATGCTTCAATAACTGTCCAAAGTTGGGCCACTTGATACTCCTCAACCGTCATCGGCAGAATCACACGACTTTATACAAAAAAAGATTTGTAGTGGATACATTCAGTGAATATATGATAAACAGGCAGAACACTCACTATTCCTTTACAATCATTCCGCCAGATATACAAAGGGGGCGCTAATGCGAAAGAGGCCGCATTAACTCACGCTGGTACTAGTCAAACAAACTAAGGGAAAAATTGTTCAAAAAAATCCATTCCCCTAAAAATCGAAAAAGGAACGAATTATCTAGTATCTCATGCCCAAGTCTTTTGCATGCAAATGATTCATCTTAGCCACCTGTAGGCCTTATTTCGTGGTATATTAAATGAAAAATAACTTTTATTAGTAAGGTTTGAAAAGACTGATTGCTACCACAGTTATGCAAACACGAACATAATTATTGGGTACTAAGACGTGTTATTAGGTAACTCTCAAAAAATTTATTAACAACTAGTACATAAGGAAATGAAAGTTTAAGGAAATTGAACAGTCAGGTCAACAAATTCACTTTTGCAGCGCTTTCATATTTCTTGAAAAAAGCACATATTCGTACTGCCAAAGTTCAGAGGCATCACCTATGACCTGGAAGAAACAACTCCCAGCGGAGGTACTGTTATACATTGCTGGGTATCGGAAAAAGCGCCACTTAGGGTTTTCACCACTTTACCTATCCCGGCATCTGGATTTTTCAGTAGCCCCAAGTCCTGCCATGTGTCAAATTTCAATTTTCCTACCAAGTATTACGGCTTTATCAGTCTTCAAGGAAGTCATGGGGCTCTACAATATTAACAGCGAAAAACAAATCCCATCCTAAAGACACTTCTTTTGAGTTCTACTGCTAAGTGATAAACCTTATTGGGGTAGAACAAATGCATATTCTGCGAAAAGGACGATAGTGACCTCAAATAGCAGCAACTACCATACGTCGCGAACCTCAAGAAAACTTTTACTACCTGAAACTACTAGCCATGGACCATCTAAAAAGCCTTGCTGCAGAGCTGTCCACCGTGCCTGCACCAAAACATTTTCTGTTAGATATCACGATAATTGCTGTACGTCTTCACCAGCAGGATAGAAATTAGAATGATAGTACAAGACAGTTCTAAAACAAGAACTTCATAGGAAGGAAGATTAGAGACAGCTCTTCACTGTCATGGAACTATGTGTGAGCCGTGTCTTGATACATAACTCTAATTTTGGGTCAGTGTTCCTCTGACGAAACATGGACAAACGTGATGGCTAGAATATTTTACCTTCCGCAGTTCCAGTTCCAATAGCGAATGGAATTAAAGGTCCATCTGAATCCTAAAGAGGGTTAAATGAGGTTTCAGTGAGGTAGCTCCTCAGTTGCATAACAATTCGATGGCTGACAAAGATGGCTCATGAGTGATTTCTTCAACACCGATCAAATAGTAATGGCTAAATCGGAAAGCTTAAAAGAGTATTGGTGTAATACGATAGTGGTTTATCCCTCGGTTCTGGTGAGGCGCCACTTTTGTACTTCGAATTAGCCCCCTTGTACCTCGCTGGGTGGGCTGGCCTTTTGGGCCATGCCAATAGCCCAGACACCTTCTCCGTGCTGAATATATATATTCTGCCCGAGTATTTTGTCTTCTTTCGTCTTCAGGGAGTCCCGGGACGCTACAATTGGAGCTATGCAGTATGTTGGCTATGTGTTTAACTCTTGGTTCTGACCACTGTGTATAGGCAGGTTGAGCTGGCCTCCGAGCCGTGCCAATAGCCATACTCTAATTAAATTACTCATACATACATTCTGCCCGGGTACTTAGGCTCTTTCGTCTTCAATAAAAGTCTAAAGGGCCTACAGCCACACTTTGTCGAATATATATATTCGTGTTGGGGACTGTGGTATAAAAATGGAGCACTGAGTGATAGTTATCTCAAAACGGAGAGTTAACCCAGTAACCGGAGTAGTGTATTTACTGTTCGTAAACTTCAATTTAATGTTAGGAGTACTAATAAGTTTAGCTCGCCTTTAAACAAAATTCCGCGTTCTAATTATAAACAAATGAAGAATGGTGGCTCATAACATGAAATTTGGATTCTGTTATGGCTAGGTAGTTAACATTTTATTTTTGAACAAATTAGGTCAGGAGAAGGGCAACGTTCTAATCAAAAAAATAAATCAAAACATTTCCACAGTCTACAACTGCCTTTGGGAAAGGTTGACTATTTCGAAAGTCGTTTATAAGGCTTTGTAGAACCTTTATTAATTTATTGAATTCTACTGGTCTTTCGCTATTGCCGCCATGAGTGATGTGATGTGGTGACGATTTCTTGTGAAGCAAATAAGCAAATTCACATACAAACTTTTCTGATTTTGCACAAAATACTTGATGACATTTTAATGGATCTTACTCACCACTTTTCATTATTCATTGGCTAAAATCTTGCTTTCTTGCACATTTAGCTATTCGCAGATCAATCCGCATCCTCCATATATCATCGGAAGTTAGTCGTGGTATCGGTGCGTGTTGTATTTTATGGCAGCGCGTGCCTTTAGCTTGGTTTCCTTCTAGTCGGATAGTTTACGAAAAATTCAAATTCTCCCATTTATTAAGGACCTCTGCATTACTGAGGAGTTCGTGTGAAAATTGTCAGGTAATCCTGCATTTAAGTAATAATTTTTCCAGAGCACCAAAGCGGTAAAACTGCATTTGAACTGTGCTGATATGCCGAAAAAGTCCTTCGGCTTTCAAAGCGACCGGAAAAACTTGGATAAAGTCATAAAACGTCTCGATCAAATTTAATTTTGCCTTGAATTTCTATGGCTGAGGTTGCATTAGGATCCATAGACTTTTCTGCCCTCTTAGACGAATTAGAATCTGGCAGTAGCGGTTCCTGTGCCAGTGTCATTCGTAAGCTACGCGAGTACGAAGTGGCTGCCTATGAAGCTGGACAAGGTGGTCCAACCGGTGAACTTATTGCCAATTTTATCGCTCGTCTTGACGAAAGAGTTGCTGATCGGGAGTTAGAAATTGAAAAAACCTGTAGTCACAATTACGAGAGCTTTGTTGAGTCCGTTCAGGAGTTGATGCTGATGCAAGAGAAGGCAGAAGAGTTACAAGAAACTCTCCGTCAAATTCGAGCCAATGTTGAGAGCAGTGTCCAAAAGGTATAGCTTCATTGTACACTCGCTTGTCTAACTCTGATCTATAGTTAAACGAGTCTAGCGAAGCTCTTACAGCTACCCACGCAACAATCACCCGCATTGATCAATGTATTGCGGCGCTTCGAACAAGTCTGCCCGTTCTAGATCAATACGAAAAAATCGAGAAGTGCATCTCAGAAGGTCGATACTACCATGCTCTTAAGTCCCTTGAATACCTAGAACACTACCAGCTCAAGTCTATCCAATCCTTCGCCTTCTCTCAGGTCCTTGCCAAACGCATTCCTGAATTGAGGGCAGAGATTAAAGTAAGTCCTTGTATTGACATAAAAGCCACATCTTTCTAGTCGGCCAGCTTGGCTCAGTTGACGGACTTTTTGGAGGAAGTTCGAAAGCACTCCATTCGTCTTGGTGCCATCGCTATACACCAAACCGCAGAGAAGATGGGAATGGGTGAAGAGTTTTTTGGTAATCCGGAAGCTTTCATCGGAAAGACCGGGGGTGAAATGAAAGTGGACAAAAAGAAGACGTCTTCCTCTGATTGTGATAATTCAGATATTGAATCTTCGCAATCAAAACAACCGCAGGCAACGGTTAAGCTGAACAATACCTTTCAGCTTAATCGAATAGGTAAGACATTTACTCCCTTTTGTAGCTAAAATACCTCTCTTGAAGTGCCTTTTTTTCTCGAAAATCACTTACTTCTAGCCTCTGGCTGTCTCCAGCACAATAGTCGCTGTTTTGGTTGGGATGACGGAAGTAAAGGTTTGCTTTTTATTTTCTTGTGCCATCCCACCCTTTCTCTCCGTTATTTTACTTCAAAAATTCGTTGGAGTTTATGGTCTTACTGACGTCATTTGTGAATTTGATTAGCTCCAGCAAAGGCGTGGCTTATTGACTTAATTAAAATACATTTCGTGCCCCAGCACTATAGCAATTCCGCCAATATAGAACTTTTGCTATTAAATATGCATTATACGGTTTCTTGGTGTGGTATTAGGTCTAAAATTAATTGCTTCCCTTTCTACCATTGATTTGTAGTCTTCATTATTTTTTTTAACTTGTGTGCCGATTGCCCTTTGCACTATCGTTTAGGGTAGAGTACTTTTGTGTATTTTGAGTTTGTATAGCTCCTCAGTTCCTTGTCGAGTATCGCGGACAGTTCGAAAAATCCATTATGGTTTGTTAGCATAAAACATGGGTAAATGATTTGAGTACGATATTCCCCTCATTTTCGTCTCACTCACAAACAAGTCACGTGTCAGATGGGAGGTCGGTGCTAAGGTAACGGAGACATGCGTCCAAATCTGCTCGTGGAGTAATGATTAGAGGATCGTTCATGACTGAGTAGTAAAGCCGAGTAATTATCCGGGCTGGTAGACTCTGCTTGTACACTCCGTTAATGTTTCAAAATGTGTACACAAAGAGTCTTGGTAATGGTGGTTCACCTCAACTGGCGTCTGGGTTACTCTCGAACGAGTATGAAGTTTGTTCTGTCGTAAGTTTACGAAAGAGGGGCTGTTGATGGAATTTCACGTAATTGGTGTGAAGGTAAAACCATGGGAGGTGGAAAATGCACATCCCGCTACGGAGTCTCTGGTAATGGTATTGGACATTTCATGCCTATTGTCATACAGTCGCTGCAATCATGTTGTATAGCCCCTCTTGTTCTATCTCCCATGGTTACATCTATTGGATCTACTTTTACTCGTTTTTCTCATCTTTCCCATTCTCAAAGACGTTGTGGAGGCCGAGCTGGAAGAGTTGATCCAGGCTTCAAAGCAACGTGTCGACTTTGATGGAAAAGGCGTTGATGGAGGGAGTGGAGCTTATTGGCGCAGTGCGAAGAACAACATTGAGAATTTGATCAACTTTGGACCTATCTACCGATGTCTACACATCCATAGTGTCTCAGGAGAGAGGTCAGAGTTTGAGCATTACTACTTTACCCAGCGGCGAAAGCAATGTCAGCTCATTCTTAGTCTGTCGCCATCTCAACAGGTTTGTTTTCTACATCATCTTTAATTGTTGAATTGTCAAGTTCTTTTGTTTTCACCCTCATCCAGCAATCCAGTTTTGGCACTTCAACAATCTGTAAACTCATGAGATCTCACCACTGTTGTTTACACTGTTTCCACAATCTTCGGTTCACTGTACTCCGTCTTGGTCAGATTTGAAGTAATTTTTCGTAGAATAACTGCCAAATCCATTGACGCAGAGACTGGTCCAACACCTTGTTCAGCGATATGGCGGTTTTTCGGACGTGCGACATGGTTGTTAGTTCTAAGAATTGTTAAGGCGAGCTGAAGAGCAATTTTTCCTTCTTTTTTGTCACTATGTTTGGTATGGTACTGAAAGGTTTATGGTGGTAGCACCGACTCACCTCTCGCTTGGGGTCATATTGAATTGATTCTTCGCATAATACGCGATCAACTACCTTTCACCTGTCTATTTTTGTAATTTGAGAGATCATCTAACGCTGTCAGTGTGTTTTGGTTGGTAGCCAGATTATATCTTGCCATTCGTTTCAGGTCGCCTTTATTTCCCCTTACAAACGTTATCAATATTCGCCACATTGACTTAAATTTGCATGTGACCCCTACAACCGTGGAACACGCATATTATACGAGAATTTTTCAAGGGTATTGAATCTCGAAGTTTCCCCTGTGATTGTTAATCGCTCTGCTTGGTCAAAATAATGCCTCTGTGCTTTTCAAACTCGTCTACTTGTAAAAGTCTTGGGTGTAGATAGATCTTCAACGGGATTTCTTTAGCTATTTGCATTACGCTCAGCCCTTTTTATTTGTAATCTGTGTTGTCTGTGCGTGGTTCGGTACATTCAAAGCCAATTGCTACGTAGTAACAAAAGCAGAGCACTCCTGACATTCGTCCAGCTTTTTTGAGTTTTTTTTTGAATCGAAGTAAACTCTATCCCCAAGCAGGCAAGCTTAATTTACATACATCAGTTTCAAAATGACAGAAAAGTAGCAAAGGACACAATAAGGAGCTCCGTACCGATGGACTGGTGCGCATCCTTGCTTTGCAATAGAGGCATATAAACAGCTCCTTCCATTTTACAAATCTCTCTCTCCGAAGTTGCAGTAAGTCATCGCTGCGTGGTATTACCGAAAAATGAACAATTTTTTGGTCAGCTAATATTTCTTCCATAAAAAGGGTATGTTTTCAATACGTTCCCTCCACATGCCATAGTGCTCTTTTGGATGTTTCAGAAACGTCCGCAGGTAGGCGCTTCCCTGAAACTTCGATAGCACTATCCAAAGCTGTAAAGCTTGTGTCGCTTCGACAGGCGTTCAAGAGACACTGAACTTTGCGTATCACCTGCCTACTTCAGGTATCATATGGTCTTTAGGCAGCCACTGGCGTATTCGGCTTGCAGCTCTCTAGTCTTACTTTATGTGAGGATTACAATAATGGGATGATGACTGAAGGGTTAGCTTACCGTCTTGGTGACATCTATCCAGACTTGAAGTCATGGATGGTCAATTGCATAATAAGGCAGTTCCTTGATACATCAAATGTGCGTCACGTCCGGATTTTCTTATCCAAGTCTAGCATTACGCATATCCTAGGTATTCCTTATCACCTCATAGTGAGCGGCTGTGCCGAATTCTGTAACAGATAGATTGTTTGAATTTACAATGAGGAAGGTGATGTAAGTTGTTCTCTCGGTCCAAAAAGGTCGATTAATTCTTTTCTGTTCTTTGAGCAGCAGATGGATTGGTCAATGTTGGCTTCATTAGTATTGTAAGAAAACACCTGGACAGTGATGGTGGATTCTCCACTGGAGTTTTTGGAGCGAACGTAAAGTAGTACCTTGCGTATGCCTCTTCACAGACGATATCTTCGTGAGAAAATCGTTTCATGCATTAATTGGTATGCTCAGTATAACAGTGTGTCACACGCGTGACGTACGGACTCAGGTAAGAGAAGTGGGTTGTCACATATATGTGACACAGGTTGTTGAATACTTGAACACATAACTCCACATCCTACTGATGTTGTCAGCGTCATGGCTAAGAGTCTAAATCAAAGGTAGATCTGCAGATTTCTGCATATTGCTTATGCATAAGTCCATAGACATTTTGCGTTACCTTTCAGTCAAGCCTGCGGAACTATAGTGAGTTCTTCAGTCGAGTGGTGGGTTTCTTCTTGGTGGACGACTATCTACGCCATACTATGCCAGGCGCTGCAGCAGGCGTAGGAGCCGGTGCAGCTGCAGCGGCCTCTTACTACCAATCTTATCTGACCGATCTGTGGGGCTCACTAGTGCCCCGGCTGACCAAAATTATCACTCGCAATGCCTCAGGCTGCACCACCTCTGGGGAGTTGTTAAGTCTTAAACACCATTGTGTGCTGTTTGAGAGGACTATGGCCAACCTCGGATTTCACACAGCTGGACTGAATGAGATGGTGGAGACGGTGAGGAGGCAGTTCAGCCATCTACTTATTGATCAATGGAAAAACCGGTGAGTTTTGCGTCGGGTAGGAGCACTGGTTAGGGATTCATGACTTTCAAGTGTCTCGATTGTGCTGACTGTTCTAGGATGGTATTCTCCCAGTCTGATGGTAGCATCCATAACGCTCCTTCGATTTGATAGGTGGATGGGTCGGTGCGATCCACCTGAAACACTCTAGTTACATCCGGCAATGATACAGCTCTCTGCAATGACTTGATGTGTTAGGAAGGAATGAATGAAAAGTTTCCAAGTTTCCAGAACCAGGAAGGTTCATTCAGCATCAACTCTGGTACATTTCGCTTTCAACCCGAACTACATCGTCGGATACTGAATGTCCCACGTAACCGATTAGCTCTTGAGGTGACAGGGGAAGTAAACCTGGAAGCGGTTCCATTATTAACAGAAAGGCGTAATGGTTGAAGGGTAGCATGTCGGAATTGACTCACCAAAGGCTAAAAGTGACTAAAAACAGGTTTTTTTCTACAGATTCGAGGAGATTTTTAAGAACGACAACTACACCGCAATTAGACTGGAGTCTGCATCCGACCTAACTCCCGAACTGGCTGCTTATCCCTACTGCCAGTCGGCAGAATTCACCTCGCAGTCCTACCCCCGCTCCCTAGTCTTCTCGCCCATGGTACCCCAAATCTACGCCGCGGTGCGTGACTACATCGACGCCTCGGGCCAATTCATCGCTGGGCCCTCTGCCGATATGGCCTGGACGGAGTTAGAGGACTCCTTGAATCGTGCCACCAATGTCCTTTTCACTGACTGCCTCGCCGCTCTTCTCAATACCACCCTGGAAGCAGCGGAGAAGAATCTGCTGCGACTCATTCAACTAACGATCAATTTGTCGGAGTTGGAGGGCGCGTGCGAACACCTGCAGACGTACTTACACAAGCATGCAAGACCCAAGTTCTTCTCACTAGCATCAGCTACGACCGCGGTGGTTGAAGATCAGGATGATGAGGTGAAAAGATGGTGGACTTTTGTTATTACTCTTACTGAACACTGCAGCTCTCGAGGTTATCCCTTAACGCGTTATTGGACATTACCGATCCGGAAGTAGCTTTATTACCGACGCATAAGGGAAGTGGAAGGTTAGTACTCGGTTCGGAGCAGACTCGAATTTCCTTCAGCTACGTGGTTCCACTCTATCTATAGACGTCATCATTGGGGCTCTTCACGGATACTTCCGTTTTGGTTTTCCAGCATCTTAAAACCACCAGCCAGTCACGCAGTAATTCCGCTAATTTTGGTGCACTTTCATGTACTTCCATGGATCTACTCGTTAAGTGGTATTGGAGTTGCGTTGTGGGGCTTAGCTCTGCCCGTAATTCTCTACAGCAAGTGCATTTTCTGCGTAAGCGGGTGTATGTGAGACAATTTATCCAATAAAACAATGTAAGGTAGCTCCACATAGATGTCCTCTACTGGCGTCGCAAATGTGTGACGTGTATTCTTTATTTGTTTAGGTTAATTGATTGCACCAAATTGTGCTATAAGTAGATTAGTTAGGTTTTAAAATGACAAAATTTGTGTAGCATGTTCTCGATTTGAGGATGAGTATATTTTCACAAAAATGGGTTAGCAAGGATTGCATAATACGCGTTATATAGCCTTGGAAAGTTTTCTAAAATAATTCTTTGTCCGTTGGATCAGCCACTTTTATAGCTGGTAAGGTATCATCATTTCCTGACCAGACAGGCTTGCTGTCAATATCATTTTTGTGCATCATTTTACCTCTAGAGCCCAAGAGAAAAAAATCTCGTCTCCAGCGATAACCACCTGATATCTTTTCATCTCTTAGGCTGTAGACCTACTAGCCCTGATGACCTCCCAGCCCGACGAAGTGCAGCCCTCGCGCTCCCACCTCTACGGTGTCTCCCTCTTTCGTGACTGTCGAGCACGTGCCGAAACCCAAATATACACCCACCTGAACTCGCGTATTGAGGAGTTCTGCAGCCTTGCCTCCTACGATGGTATCTTTGGGGGCCCTGGGGAGGGTATCCTATCCCTCGATCAACTACAGAACGCCTTGAGCGAAAGCAGTAGTCTACGAACCAGTGAGTACATGGTCGACATGATGGCTTGGCTGAGCTCTACTTTCACCGCGTTCACCCACCTCCCTCCCAAGGTGGCTCACACGGCTTGCATTTCAGCGTGCAAGTATATTGTGAAGATCCTTCAGCGTATCCTCATGGGCCCTGAGGTGTGTTTTGATTGTTGTCATTTGCAATGTATGTTCGTCCTTTGTTGACAACATTGATTAGCATACGTATCATCTATGGGACTAATCACTCACCCTCCGCCATATTAAAAACAGGTGACCAACAAAATTTGTAGGATTTGCGGTTGTTTGTGCATGAGATGCGAAGCATCGATAAAAATGGCGTCAGACTATCGACACAGTTCACCACTCCTTTTCTGTCGTTCTGAATCGCCGATTTCATATCGTGAGAAGTTGGTTGGGTCTGTTGGGTGTGATTTGGGCTTGCCTGCTGCAGACACCTCTCGTATAGCATTTTGACAATGAAATCGCAGTCTTATTTAACAACAGTGATAATGAAACAACTTATTTGCTCCTACGTCATCCGCGAAGGGAAAGTGGTGGTACCTTCTATGCACGAGGCTATCCGCAAGTCCTGCATTAAAAACAAATAACGGTCAACATGAAACGCTGTCGATTTTTTCTTCACTCCTTTGCATAAGTTATAAAAAACGCACTACTGAGAATGGATTGTTTGCTGACTTTCTGACTGGTTTTTTGGTAAAAAGTGGACTGTTGTACGTATTGCAACGAACATTTCGTTGGATACATTTCCAGACGAGCTGCTTACTGCCCCGTTCTAAATTTCTACAATGTCAAGTCACACTTAGGAGGCTGTACATGCTTTGTGTGGGATCGACTGCAGGTGAAATTGTTCTCCTTGAATTATTTGCTGAAAGGCAAACAATAGGTATGAATGACGTTTATTTAATCAGTAGACCTCCACGATTTTATCAGAAAGTGCCATTGCCAGGGAAGAAGGGCAACACAAGACCTCGTACCGCGCAACCTGTATGCAAAAAATGTCATTTGAGAATGAGATGGGAGGCACTACTCCACCTAATCCTTCCTGTCATTAGCTACCGTGGTGCTACTATAGGCTGTCGTGAGAGGCAAGCGTGGTCTACGTGCTAGTACTACTACTGTCGCTGCTGATAACAGGAACGCATGCTATATGTGGGCCACTTCAGCCTCCACACTTTCAATTAAGACAACAAACAATAATTTTTGGTCATGAGTGAATGGAGGTACCAAATCTGAGCCCTGGAGTATCTACTTGTGTTCACTGAAGTCTTGGATTACAGTGCAGGTAGGTGATGAAATGCTCATCTGTGATCAAACACACGATTGGCTTGAATGATTTCAAATTTTCAAGGAATCACTAGCCAGCCGTGTTTCTTTACGTCACTGACGATCTCGACTGTGATAGTGGTGGTGGTCCCAATTTCGGATGCATATCCAACTGTCTCGCCGTCATTCAGTGTTCAATCTGCAGGTGGAACACTTGCTCGTTTGACGGAATTGCACTACAGGTGAATCTCCGTTTGACATCGGTGAACAGAATCAGCCATGGAGGTGTGGAATCTTGAGATGCTGACTTACATCAGGTATCCTTTCTATACCTGATTAATCCTTCCACTGGCCTCTGCAGCTATTATTTAAAGGCTGGAAATGTGTACAAAAGCAGCTGGGAAATGGTTTTGTTGCTGCTTAATTCTTGTTTGTAAAGGCAGAAGTCCTGGTTCTATCCTAATCTTCCTCCTAATTCTTCAATAGCCAAAGAGGAAAAAGACTCTCCACTCTAGGTTTCGTAGGTATGTAAATTTTACTTTCATTTCTGCTAGTCTTGCCAACAGAGTAAGTGAATCACATCTGCTAATGTTGAAGAGGATGCAACTTTTCCAGTCACGTGTTTTTTGCAGGGGCAGGTGAAGGCTTCCCCGTCCTCATATGTACTTATATTTCAAACAATTTGCAAAACAAAAAAAACTAGCTAATTTCCACTTTGCTCTCTTGTGACTACTGGTTAACCTTCCCTGCACACTCCTGGCAGCTCCGAGATGAGCTGACTTGCATTTAGTGATTTGTTGCCTTTGGAGAGTTCCTTTTGCACACAGGCGTCAGGTCACTAAGGTGTGGTGTCGCCTTTTTCTCGCCTGTTGTAGGCTCTGTGCATTGCATGGGAAAGTGCCTATCACCAGCCTCCCTAAAACATTCTCCCTCCTAAAGGGAAGCAAAAAGCCTACCTCTAAACATGTCTGTTCATATTTCACTTCATTTTTTTTAATGTGGGATGATGAATTACTCGAAAAGTGGACGCATTGCATTAGGAAAAACTCTATAGTCTTGAAAACAATGAAGAAGTATGCATTGTTAAGATCAAATTATGGTCATGGCTAAGGTAGGTGATGGCTAAACAATTGGTTAATGCCTGCATCGAATGGGAGAGGGAAAAGTCGTGGACGCTGAAGTAATGTACTGACTTATTTGTGAACAGAAATGACTTTTGGATGTATGGCAAGCATAGCATTTGTTATCTTCGAGCCATCCACTCCGTGTGAGCTCTGCCTCCTTGAAATGATAACTGGGCTATACGACAGTGCAGGAGAGAGTTTGACATTGCATACTGTCGCAAACCTTCTTTTCTGTGGAAAGATTTGCACCCCTAGCTCAGTCTTCGTGTTCTCTTGATGGTATTTCTCAAGGTGATATCACCTTTACTTGACTTTTGACTATTACATGTCAAATAGACAATTGGGGAATAAAGGTGAGATGGAACTGCGGGTAGCCCAAGCTGGATTATTGTGGCTTTTTTGAGGCGACGTTTTGCAAAGATTGGATTCTTAGCAAGTTCGTACTTAGTTGGAAAGGAAATCTAGATTGTACGCTTTATCCACTTTCATTTTTGATCGACTGAAGATGTATCAAGTCGTCTACAAGTATTCATGGCATTGTTGTAAATGGCTTTTTCACGAACGGCTTCGAGCCTTTCAGGCTCGGTATCGCTTCAGTACTGATCGCCATTCTGAATCTCTGTTGTAACCCGTCTGCGGCAGCTCACAACCAACAGAAGTGGACCCACTACTGGCAATGTGGTGCTCAGGTCATTTCACAAGACACTATACGCCCCAGGGGAAGGAAGGTAGCTTTTCTGTAAACTTCATAAAGACTTGGGAGACTTTTTGCACTGGAATCAAGAGCGTAAATGAGCTTGAGACTGGAAGGGGCGTATTAGTATTAGTCAAGTAGGTAAATAATCGGTTATTTCTATCGGATAGGTGAAAATGGTGGTGGAGCCGGCGCTCTCCCAAATGTTGGTTGATTTGGCGGAGTGTGATAAATTTGCACGCTCCAACCCAGTGCCGGGCATCGATAAGTCCATCCTCCTCCTTATCTTCAGTGAGTTGCGTCAACTTCTCGAATTGGTGCGCAACAATGACTGGAGTGTCTTCTTCGCCAATTACGGCAAAACCTCCGGTAAGTTTGACTAGTTCCCCTTAATGCTAGTCTCAAAAGTTCTTGGAGTAAATTTGCATACTTGGTTAGTAGAGGAATGAGAGCTCCAAATTTTTTTTCCTGAGCCATCGCCAAAAGTTGGTTGATTGGTTGTGGATAGAGTACCATAAGTGGAGTTGTACCGTGCAAATGGAATAAAGCATTTGAGCGACAGCTGTTTCGCCATCCATCTGCCATTTCAGCTAGCTCTTTCGGGTACTACCTCCAGATAGTGTCGTGTTTTTTGGGCTCACTGTCTTTTGTCTTAATATAGATAGGGTGCGCGGGTATTTGTGACAAACTAACATTTTTTTCCCTGCTACAGTGTTTCCTTTTTTTCTACCAAAGTTCTCTTTGTGCCTTGGTAAATCTATGCAATGGGAGTTCCTTAGCAAGGGCTATTATCAAATCTTCAAGAAAGGGGTCTTTGTGTACTTGGAAATAACGTATCGAGTAGTCAGAAGTAAGTTTTGATGTGGTATTCGGTACACTACCAAGGTATGACTTCTTCTGGCCTGTGGTGACGAAAGAGTAGGTAATTTCTCTGCAATTGTGCTTATGCATCAGGTAGCAAGCCATCAGTCAGACATAGTACGGTTCGGTATGGTGCTACTTCTCTTCTCTTGGTGAACCATCACATCGGAAGCGGTCAGTTTCATCTGATTTATGTGATTTGGGCCTATCTGCTTCACGAGTCGAGGTGAAGCCACCACGGCAGCCGTGCGTTTGGAGGGGCGATGTGATGCGCGGTAGCAGGAACTTCCTGGCCTGAAAGACCTTTGTGAAAGTTGACTCTGGTGTGGAAAATTCTTTGTTCTGCATGATGGTGAGAAATAACATGTCACTATCGACTAGAGTAGTTGACGATGATGATGTCATGTATCGGTAAAAACAGTCATATTTAAGGTGAATGATGACGAGACAATAGGCTTGTAAGGGGAAAGGTGGAAGAAAGAAGAAGTCGGGGAGGGGAAAGTAGCGGTAGACGTAAAGTGGATGGTTGTTTTGCCATAAAAGATGTCCAGACGTTTGAAAGTCCATCAATTTGTCCCTCACTTCTTTCAGGTTGCTATCAAAACGCATCTTACGCTGTTGATGGATGATTTGCTGACTGACAAAATGATCTGGGATGTTAAATGGCTTTGTATTGTAAGTTCGAACGAACGATCCAAATGATTCACTCTATCCGCTCCTCTCCACTTCCACCTCACTATTACCTCATGCCTGCAAGACCGTGTTTTGAAGGTGTGCGTACTGTAGACGTAATTTCTCACTAAGAGTTGTGTCCCTGTTGAATGAAGGTGTCAGTAGCGCCTCAGTTCTCAATTATTATCTTTGAATGAATCGTTATCACTGTAATTAACATTTTTGTGGCTGTTTCTGTTAGAATTCCATCTCCAAATTCTACACGGTAAATTTGACGAGGCACTTTTGAGACTTGAATGTGATACTAAGTGGACAAGCTTAAATCACATTCACTTGATTCATACGATTCTTGAGGATACGAAGACTCAAATTGAGCAGAAGGTGGCGGCGGGCACAATAAAGCGAACCTTACCGTCTCGATAGGTTGATGCGTTTTCTCTGCATCAAGGGACGAACTCATATTTCAAATTAGGTCACAACACGACTTTCATTTCCGGTGCTGGATCCTTGATTATTCCCAACAATCGCTTCTTTCTCAGCGACTAGCAACCCTACTTTGAATACTCTTACCACGACGAACAACAAACAACCGTCCATCTTGGCTCCACTGCATTCAGTGTCTCACACCACTAACTCCTTCATGACAAAATCGGTAGGGTTCGTTGGCTAATCACATATCCTCACCCGTCTAATGTCCTAGCGGCTCTATTAACTCGACCCTCACCTTTCTCTTTCCTCCAGGTAACCCATATGAGCGCGTGACTCCGGCAGCAGCAATTGCACTGTTGGAATGCATTCGTGAGTCGGCGAAGCGACGCCACAGTACCCCCTCCTTTCTTCTAGTTGGCTCCTCAATGCGGCCAAGGCGAGAGCACCGTCGACGTCTCGACGACATCATTCGTCAGCTGAAGGATCTGCAATCCGCGCCCACTACTTCCAGACGTTTCTAGACATCCCTCACTTCATCTACATTCCATACTATTACAGTTTTGCTCATTTGCTCTATCTTTGTTGAATACTTTTCTTTATACCTAATGGTCGAACATCTCGTGTGATGTTGATGGTGGTGGTGAGACTACTTGGTAATTTTGAAGGCGATGAGTAGGGTTTTGGTGAGGGTGAAACAGATATCACCAGGGACGTTCGTATCAAACCAGGACTACTAACCTCTTTTTCTCAATGGCCTCGGAAATCGTCGTTGGTGGTTCTAGAATCTGTCTCTATCTCTTTGAGATTTTGTTGACTTCCTAGTTAATTTTGCCTTAAGAATGTAATGCTTTATTTTAATGTATGACGGCCGTCGATCCGTGAATTGCTTAGCAAACAATATCCCTAACTCTGGGGGCAGTTAAATTGGGAGAATGATGGTTAGTGTTGTCGGTTTCGTGACCTCTATACAACCCGGCTCCCATTCATCAATCAAAATTGGGGGCGTGTGATAATGATGCTGCTGTCGAAATTTCAACATGTCCATTTGGCGGTCTCATGGCTAGGTGTACATAAATGAGACTGCAACGCGCATCAGGTAGTTGTGCCCTCCTAAGCGAACGTTTTGTTCCTTTGATGGTACATGTCTGGAGTCCAAAACACCCCTGCTCAGCATCTGCGAGCCTCCCTTTCCACTTCATTTTCAGCTGCCAACTGTCTATTGTAGTTATGTAATAGTTTTAGGATGAAGGGGAGAAAAGATAACTGCAACACCAAGGAAATTCGAAGGCTAGGGAGATGCACTGTCACTTTCCCATCGCAACTTAAAGTACAAATACTCTCAATAAAAAGATGCGTGGACGGAGTGACTGGCTCTGCCTGTCTTTGCCGTTTCTCAAGTACGTGAACGATGAATTTGCCAGAAGAGCGTACTTGGGGGAAGTGAAGGGCACTTTGACGGGCTTCAAACCGCTTCGTCAGCTGTTGTTGCAAGGCGCGTAGTTGACAGCCATCCTTTTCACTTCTACCACCAGTTTTCCCTCCCCCTTCTTTCTTCCCCCTTCCCACTTGATGTCGTCATCGTTCATCTTAAATATGACTGGATGCTTTTTTGACACTTGGCATATTCATCGCTAAATGCTTTAGTCAGTGTTGGCACCGAATTCTGCACCATCATCAAGAACAAAGGATTTTCTTTAATCTGATGCATCTTCCAGTGCTACGTTACCATCGGAATCAACCTTTGCAAGACACATTCAGGTCAGAAGGTTTCAACGACCGCTCATCGCACCGCACCTCACCGCCTCCAAACGCACAACTTCTGCGATGACTCCAACTCGAATCATGAAGTAGACAAGCCCAAACCACACCCGTCGGATGCAACCAACTTCTTACACTATGCGGGTTCAGCAGGAGAAGAGAAAGAGTACCATAACGAACTGTGCCGTGTCTGGCTGTTGGTCTGTGACCTAATGCATATCCACAGTCGCGGAGATTTTACCGCCACGTACACCACCACAGCCCAAAAGAAGTTATGATCCAGAGTTTTAGTGAATGCCGCATCACCTTTTGTGGCAATCTGACAACCTTTAAATTAGTAAACAAGGGAAACTCACCACTATCTATTGTCACATCTTTCGGAACCCACGATTATGCTCTGACATTGACACCTGACTGAAAACCTAGTTCCTAGTGCAGTGTGATCTTAAGTGACAGTTGAAATGACTCTCGAATTTGATAAAAAAATTCTTCACTGATCGCACACATGTCAAAGGCAATGGATTTGTAAACTCCTTCTTGAGGCTTTCAGAGGTAGCGTGGTCACTACCTTCCACAAAAGATCTGTGCTATGCTACTTAAAAGGCCAAAAATGTAATCCTATCTTCAAACAGTGAAAGTCAGTTCACATCTTCAAGTTATTGTCTTCAATAATCTGCTTACCACATAGTTTGGTAAGGACAGAAATTAGGAACTTACTAATAACACCTGTCACATATTTGTGACGTCGAATAGGAATAATGGAATTGAGATTTTGTATATATGCAACGCTTGTAGAAAAGATCTCCATCGCAATCGCAGAGATGCATTTACTCAATACAAGCAACCGTAAGCATCTGGCAGAGACATGGCTAACGCAAGAACTGTCGAAGTTTCTCTGCTGGTAAGTAATGTCCGCCTTATTTGCAGGTGGCCCGGACACGTTCAAGACCAAGGCAGGTAGTGATGTAAATGAAATCGGCCTTTCCGAATCTCAATTTAGGTGCTCCACGATCTATCAGTCTACCAGCTCCTTCTGCATGTCGATAATAAAGATGAGATTAATCGAGAACAAAAAAGGTAGAACACAAGATCCTACTGTTAGGTGGATGGATGAATGAATGCATCAGTTGTAAGTGACTGAAGCAGTGTAGTCGCACTACAAAATGACCACCAAAACAGCGAGGTATGGGTGTGAACACGAACCCCATCGGGGGAGATGCTTAACCAGAGCAACCAAGAGAGACGACTTGGGAAAAAAAACCAACAAGACCTCTAATATTATTAAGGTGGGTTCACAAGGTATAGAGCGTGTGAGTACATGGTTGTTGGATGGACTACTGTGCTTCCAAGATGGACACTATTCTCACATAATTAGGTCATAATGAGTGGCCTTGACCTTACCGTGATTGCTAGTACACATGGACCGCATCTCCACATCATTTTGGTCAATGAGGATAACACACCAAGAAAGTCTCTAAGCTGTTGAATAATTTAACTTCTGGACAGAAATTTCTAAAACCTTGAAACAGAAAACCCTTTTCTGGGATTGTAAATAATCCCATCAACGTGCTGCTTGCCACCAGAGCCTTCATGGTACAATCGAAGTTAAGCTCTCGGCTGGGCAGGGTCGTCGGATATGGCTCAATTTCATCAAGAAATTCTCGTTCATGTGACAACCCTAAGAAGGCCCAGTCGGGTTTGTTTGTGTGTGCAGTGGAATTATGTTTGTTTTATCCCGGTACTTGCCTATGCAAGCTCTCCCTGCCAGGTGACAACTGGAGCGCACTCATTCAGCCTTTTTTATGCTCGTCGATGATCAAGTCACCTTCACACCTCCTTCCATTGCTAATGACTTCAGAGACAACTTTGTTGAAAGCAAAACTTCGAGAAATCTGTAAATAAGGCGATATCTACAGCGAATCCACATAAACACTTCACAGACTTTGCGATTCAATCTCAAAGGCATAGAATCAAGCGAGTTACGCATTAACTACTAATAGAAGAATCGCATGTGAAGTTACCTCCGAATGCCACAAAAATGGGCATAGGGGCGCCTTTTTTTCTGCTGCTGCCTCTTGCTTGATTACATCAGGAGAATGACTTGCCCGTGTAGTTCCAAACTGCGGACGAGGACCCAAGGGGCATCAATCCCCCTCGAGTTCCCAAGGACTAAGCCAAATAAGTAGTTTCCTTTTGTACGGAAGGGTACCAGGAGGCATGAAAAAATTATCACTCCTTGAATCAGAGAAGTTACGATCTACTTTGTGCCAAAGAGAAGGAGGTGCCAAGTTGGTCTATACTGGGGAGGTAACACTGATTAGAGTATTTGGCAACGTGCCAAGTGCCAGGAAAAATAGTCCTATTTAACGCAAACGATGACGAGACAAGTGGTTTACATCGACATGAAAAAGTTTTGGAACTTCAATTCTAAGAAAAATTGGTTGACTTTGTGTGTGGTGGGTCGTATATAATTGAACCCGACATCTGTCTACTCAGTACATTCTGCCACACCTCAGATGTCTGCGAGAAAGGCACCTTTTTGTGAAAAAGAACTAGTCAATCAGTGGAACAAGAGTTCTACCCTTACAAGAAAACACAAGACTTCATACCTCTGACAAAAAAAATATTTGACTTCAAGAAAAGTAATGTCAATACTGAGATGCATTAATGAGTGGGAAAGAGTCTAGCCCAGGTACTACTGAACAAGAGGCCTTTTTTCCCATTACTCCTAGGCTGCACAGTACTGAAACAGCATAAAGAATTTAAGACTAGTTAATTTAAAACTTTTGTCATTCCGAATATTCCCACCTTACTTTGGCATCGCAAATAGTTGTCATATCTTCCTCATAAACATCTACCAACCGATTACACTGGATGGTATTACAAAGACTAGATAGGATGAGTAAAATCCAAAAAAATCCTGGTCTATGGTGGTCAACTTTTTCCAGAAGTCATGATAGTGAGCCTCCAAAGCTCAGAAGTGTTAATGACAGGCAAAAAAGTGATATGCACACTAGGCATTTCGCCAGTACGTGTTCATTTCTCCTTTCAAGGGGAATAATACATTTTAATCAACAGTTGAAAATCAATTAAAGAAAACTGATTAATATTTACAGAAGAAACAGGGAGGGAGAGAAGCATATTCTCTTTACACTCGATTCAGCTTTGTCACAATGAGTAATCGAAGTGCCTGATCAAAACCGACACACACCGCCAGTCCCATCTTTTCTTTGCACCAATCCAAACTGGCAATGGGCTGGGAGGCTAGAGTGATATTTTGCAGCAATTCAACCTTTCCCATTACACCTTCAGCCACCTCTCTTTCCTTTTCTCCTTCTCCGTCGCTTGCTGGCATTTTCACCATTCTCTGACGCTTCATTGGGTAGTGATACTTCCACAAGCACAGTGACCCATTCCCTCCCGTAGTCATGAAGATGTCACGCTGTTGTGGCAAATGTCGCACCTGCCATACAGTCGAGTCGTGCGCCTTCTCTGTCAATGAGGCGAAACCATGCTGTGGATGTTGTGTGCGCATATCAAAGACGTAAATCCTCGACTCTAACGTAGTCGCTACTAGCTTGTTCATGTCTATGTCCTTCCGATCGAACTCAACCGAGCACACTCCATTGCGCACATTTGTCTCCCATCGCACGCGCATAGCTCGGAGGTCGAAGAGCTTAATATCTCCATTGTCGTAGCCAGCTACAAGGCAACGATCGTGGATATTGTAGGCGTGACCGAAGGCTAGGGTCCAGCAATCGCGTGGAGCTACCACCGACGTGTCACCACCACCCTGTTCATCACTGGGCCCTATGGTGACTACAGGAGTCTTGGGTTGACGGGGGTCCCAGACCTTCACACAACCGTCGCGGGAGCCCGTGGCGATCTCAGGGGCCCCTTCACCAATTCCTAGACCACCTACACCGTCAATGGCGTTGATTATCTCCCCGTGAGCCTTGACAGCGTAGAGTGGAGCATCCAGTCGACCCCCGTGTCCAAATCCCAGATGGCCATGCGGCCATCAAATGCTCCTGTGGCAAGATGAGCGTTAGGAAGACGAGAGGCGCCGAAAGTGCAGCATTTGTAAGACTTAGATTTCTCCGCCTGGGAGAACAAAAAAATACTACTTATGTAGCAGTTAGGTAAAGTGGGTGAAAAATGGAAACACACCTCTAGGACGAGTTTGAGATCGGTAGCCGTGACGTCAAAGATCTGAATTTGCCCAGTGTCACGTGGATTGGAACCAACCACGACAAATTTAGTGCTAACTGGAAGCCATTTGCAGTCAAAAAGTGTGTAGTTTAGGGCTTTATGCAGATGACCGATAATTTGAGGCTTGTCCATCAGAGCTGGCACATAAACGGAAATGATAACAGTTAATTAAACAGTTTAAACTGAAATGATAACGAATTATGAGTGGAATCAAAGGCCGTTAATAACGCTTTTGCTCTGCGATCGCAGAGTTTGTGCTTTTCGTTTGAGAAAATCCACAAAACTTGAAATATTTTGCGAACGTAATTTACGCATTGGAGTGGATTCGAAACAAATAAAACAAGACATCAATGGGCTAAATTCAGTTAGATTACTGCAAAACAGGTAGATACCAAGTGGATTAACACATCGATGGTAGAATGAAAAACTAGTTTATCAAAGTGATTTGCAAGGTTTTTAAAGAGTGAGTGCTAAAAACAAGCACATGGTTTTTGGTCGCATGGATAAGCAGGTAATGATTAGTGAATAGGTCATGTGCAACAGGTAAAATTCATTTTCGTAAGATAAAAGAGGAACACGCGGTATGAAATAAAAGGAATAGTAGAGTCTTGCTAACATCTAAGGATAAAAAAATAATGAAACACCTAGTCGCTGAGTTGGGACGAAAGGGCTTTAAGGAATAAAACCACTTCCAGTGGCCTAATAAATTACGTGAACATTCTGGAACAGTGGTAAGCGTATAAGAAAACTCCTAATCGGCGACATACCAGAACATCACACGCGCGCAAAAGCCAAATCGTACGGAATCAAATACCGTTGCCAGGATATTGCGTGGTTAAAACGTTAGTTGTACAGCTATGATAAGTTTACCAAATTAACTAGTTTTAGGAAGAAGTCATCTATTTGGGTGATAAGCACGGTAATCAATAATAAGACGATTCATGTTTTTTTGGAATATTTCAGCAAGCTGCATGAAATCAAGGATTAGAGGTTGAGATATATTTGTAATTTTGTAGAACATGGAATCTATTTAAGATGTCTTCTGGTTCTAGCGATGCAATCATTTTGTCCGAAAAAGAAACCTAATGAAGCCTCCTTAACTGTGTGAAAAGTTTGTGCATATCAAAGTGTAAGAGATTCACGTCAAGACTAATAATTTATCAAAAATACTCAGGATATTCAAAGAAATAACTGGCAAGAACCTAATTAAAAAAAGACTATGCACAAAATGCATATACGCAAATATACAACAGAGACGTACTTAGATTAAAAGGTATTTAATGTATAGTAAAACAATCGAAATGCTTTCGTCGCTAAAAAGTGGTGGCACTTCCCAGGCACATTTGGAAAGTCTACCAAAGCAAACAACTGTCATAAAACGGCGCTAATTTAGCTGTGTTTGATCAATATTTGCACTATTATTCCCAGTCATTGCACACTCGTGTGCGTGTTATAGTTTTTCAACCATGCTTCTAGGCCATCAAAAGGTGTTTACTGGCAATAAATAGTCTTCGAAAATAGTACGCGTTTTTACGACTTCACACAAACCCTGTGATTTAATGAAAATTTTGAGGGCACATATTTATAGAGAACAATTTAATTGCCATCCTGCGAATCCCAAAGAACAAACTTTTAGACCACCGTACAAATGCAACCACAAACCGTGTTATAAACGTCTTTTTGAAAAATATTCGCAGCGTTGATAAGCACATCTGTTAAAAAAGAATAAACATGTGATTGCGACCACTGTTTCCAAGGCGCTTTTATTTGTTTGAGTCCATAATTACTCAGTTATGAACGAATCCCATCTGTGAATTTTCTTGGAATTAACTACACTATAAGCAGTAAATCTAATGTACGAAAAAAATTTGGAGATTTGGCCTGTAAATCTTCCAACGACCTGGTTCTCATGCTCGTTTAATATTTCACTTTTATGATCTGATTGTCTATTTGTTTTAATCACTTTGCGGGCTCCTTTGACTGATTCGTATTTTCATCCCTCACTGATTTTCACTGGCATGAGGAATTAGCACCTCGCTGCGTACTAGCGCAATTTTGGCAATTTGAATTACACTAAATAAATCAAATTCTTAGTTTGCATACTTGCTGTAAAGTGGATTACGATGCCAAATAAGAAGAAGAACAAGGACAAAAACAAGCAGCAAAAGCTTGCTGCAAAGCAGTGGTGAGTTTCATGTAGGGTCAGCAGATGTTTTTGGAAAATCGGTTTACTGTTTACTAGCAATTTGCTCGTACTTGAATGTGCTGTTAGTCGACACAGAGCCTGAATTAGTGTTTCCCTGATTCGCCTTGGTTTAGTCTTTGAGGAAGTTTTCATACGAGACCTGTTTTCTTGTTCCACTTACACTACTTGAGTATCTACTTTGCGGTTGTGTTTTTTATAATTTAATTACTGAATCTACCAAGGTCTTCAAAATTATGGTTATCTGTGACGTCCCTTTTTAGCAATGGAGATGCTGGCCAAGCCAATTTGGTGAAATCTTACTCCCCTCCTCTTGACCGTGAAGCCGAAGTCGATGAATATCCCGAGGAAGAGGGTATTTTGGGTAGTGACAACGATGAGCAGGAGGATCCGCAGGATTATGTCAAAGGTGGCTACCACCCAGTCAAGATCGGGCAGATGTACAATGGGCGCTATCACGTCGTAAGGAAGCTTGGTTGGGGCCACTTTTCCACTGTTTGGCTTTGCTGGGATCTCGTTGCTAAGCGATTTGTCGCCATGAAGGTAGTGAAGAGTGCCGCTCACTACACCGAAACTGCGCTTGATGAGATTAAGCTTTTGACCTGTGTTCGTGACGCTGATCCGGATCATCCGTTTCGCAATAAAACCGTCCAGTTACTCGATGAATTTAGAGTTTCCGGAGTTAACGGACTTCGTATGTTTACGCGCCTTTCTTTTATATCCCTTTTACGTAGATGTTTGTATGGTTTTCGAGGTCTTGGGTCACAATCTTCTGAAGCTCATAATACGCTCAGGCTATCGTGGCATTCCAATTGAGAACGTTCGCACAATAATTAGACAGGTAGGCCTTCGGTCGTCATTCTGAGGTTCCCCTTTTGTGCCTTTAGCCTGTATAGTAACGTTTATTATTTTAGACGCTTGAGGGGCTGCACTATCTTCATGTGAAATGCCAAATCATCCATACGGATATTAAGCCCGAGAACATTTTAGTTGCCATTTCCGATTCAGCTGTGAGGCGTCTTGCTGCAGAATCTATCGACGCTCAAAGACGGGGTGCTAGGTTATCAGTTTCGGCTGGTGAGCTACGTAGTATAATCTGCCCAATCTCTTGTTGATGTTAGACTGGTGAGCTTTCAACTTCGAAGTTTCAGCATTTTAGCTGTGAGGTATTCTACTGACTTAAGCTTTGTGAATTCTTAACAACGATTATGCTAATTTAGTGAGTACCGCTCCCAAGGAGGTGATGCTTTGCAATAAGCTAAGTAAGGGTCAGAAGCGGCGCATCAAGAAGCAACAGAAGAAGCAGCAGGCGCTATTGGAGCAGGAATTTGAGGAATTAGAAGAGATTGAGTGTCGTGAGCAGGAGCAGCGTCTTCGGGAGATGGGGCTTCTCTACCCACCCGCTGAGGGCGACACGGCCTGCGTCGACAATCCCAAGTCGTCCACAGAACAGCAGGATGCGACTGCAGCAACTTCGGCTGTCGAGGCCGAACCCTCTGCTCACATTCTTCCCTCGGGTGAGTTATATTACCGCCATAACCCTCCCCCGTGCCCCACGCAGTATCTGGTTCCCTTAGTCATTTGCTCACCTTGTTAGCTGTCTCCTTTCATCTTCTGCTTCCTGTCTTTTAACAGTCGGTGTTGTCTTGAGCGCTGCTGTTTCTGCGCTTAAGAGAGCCGCCAGTTTTATAGCTGCCTCTGACGAGTCTTCCACCTCTTCCATCTCGGCTGATAACTGCGATTTCGAAATGTCACGCAAAGGTGTCGGTAAAGTGGTCGTTCTTGGTGACCGTGATGGTGGTGTTGACGAGGGTGAACCTCGGTCAATAATCGGACGCACCATACTGCCCCTTGTACGCTCTATTAGCCGAAGATTCTCATTGCCATTTGGACGATTGAATGCACGGCCACACTTAGTAGAAAATTCCGCATCTCACCGTACGTGGATATCTTTGTTCCTCGTCTCTTTGTGAGCGGTGTGGCTAGTAGAGTGCTACATTCTTTAGTATCGGCTTAGGCTTTTTGCCGGATTGAAGGCCATGAAGAGGTGGTGTCGATGGGCTCTTATCGACGTCTGATTCCTTTTAGGCAGACTAGCTGAGTTTATTTTGGCTGTTGTGTATGTCTATATTCTCGGAGGATGGCAAAGGCAGGCATCTAACGTGTGTGGGTACATACGCGTCTGCGTTATTGCGAGTATAGGCGCGCTTACAATCGTTTTGTCAGCTACATTGCCGTTTGCACTGCTCGGTGGTTTTGTGAAATGGCAGTGTTATCATCCGCCACCTCTCTACCGGTTGTTTCATTGTTTAGTTCTGACAGCGTATTTACTATTTGGAAAGTCTCTCCATTGTGTCCTGTGTGTGCATGTTCGTGCACGAAACAACCACTGCTTCTAACCGATCTCTGGGCTTTATTGCCCTGTTAATTGCCTCTGCGCTGGGGCAAATTTATTAATTTTTTATTTTGTTCCCCTAGAAACCTCCTTAACGATCTTTCTAGTACCTTCTGCTTGGTCATACGCTTTACAATTGCTCTAATCCTTTTCTTCCTTTTTGACAGAATGCAACAACCATGAGGATGCATCTGTGCCGCTGAAGACCCCATCCACCGATAATGTACGTTTCGATACATCTGCGCAGTTGTTCGTTTTTCGTCTGCGTTGTTTTCTCCATTTATTCGATCTGGTGAATTTTGAAGTTGCTTTGACTGCGCCCGTTATGTGCTTTTCACTAGCATGTGTCAGTCCGATAAATCTAGCTGATTTCGACACGACATCTAACTCTCACTAATGTGAGAATGAACTTCTTGTTTTTCTCTAGAATCTATCAAAAGGCGGTGATGTTAGCGTGATTTTATTAAGTGGAGCAAAATTTTATTTAGAATAAACATACTTAAACATGTTTGTCTCTTTACATGATTTGTTAACCATCAGCATGTGCGCGTGTGCCATCTAGCTGGCTGCGTTCATTCCCACTTTTAATCCTCCAGGATTCGCGAAATGACTCCAAATCGAAGGAAGCCATTCAGAAGGCGGAGTTAGAGAACGCCACAACCTCGACCGATTCACTTCTCCGGCCAGGTGCTGAGACCTACGGAGGGGGCAGCGGCGGTCCTAACGAGGTCGCACTAGCCAAGCGCGCCAGTATGTTTGTCCGTCCGGTGACTGCGAACGGTGCCGCCGGATTCATTGACAAGCGCCGTTCTCTTCTGCTGGAACCCATTTTCAAAGAGCCGGACGCTAGCAGGGAGGTTTGTCCTATTGAGGTGAAGATCGCTGATCTTGGTAATGCCTGCTGGACCTTTAAGAAATTCACCGAGGACATTCAAACGCGCCAATATCGAGCTTTGGAAGTACTCATCGGTGCAGGCTATAGCACACCAGCAGATATCTGGAGTACCGCGTGCACGGTATGTGCTGTATTTCAGCTTCCTTCTAGCTTCATCTTACGTCTTGATGGTAATCTAATGCAAGGCAGTGTGTTGGTGTGCCTGTCCTATTTTCATCATGTATTAACTGATACACCACCAGTAAACCGTTCTTCCACCAGGTCAACATTCATAGTTCGTATGTACCTCCTGGAAGCAGACTCCTTAGTTCAATCTCTCAGAAAAGCATAGTTGGTGTAAGTATTTAGGTACCCTCTCTCTTCGGATAATTGTGAGTGATTTATGGTGTCGTGGCCATGGACTAGCTTTAAGGATTTATGTGTAGTAGCATTATTTTGAGCTGGGTGCTATCCTACTTTATTGCCGCTCGTCTAGGCTTTTGAGCTAGCGACCGGCGACTACTTGTTCGATCCGCACACCGGAGAGGAGTATTCTCGGGACGAGGATCACCTTGCACATATCATCGAACTCCTGGGCCCCATCCCACGCTCCATTGTCGCTTTAGGCAAATACTCCCGCGAGTTCTTCGACAAGCGCGGTACGCATTACTGCGCTGCATTCTTTACTAGTTTTTTGTCATTATATGCTCACACTTCTACGTGTTCTTTGCAGCCTGTCTTCGTCACATTCGTGTCCTGAAGCCCTGGGATCTGCTAAGCGTACTAGTGCAGAAATATGATTGGCCGCTGTCAGAAGCGAAACTCTTCACATCTTTCCTCGAGCCTATGCTCGCCTACGACCCCAACCAGCGTGCGACGGCTTGGGAGTGTCTTCAACACCCCTGGATCACTGGCGCACCGGCTGACTTTCTGGAGGGTCAATTTTTTCGACATCCCTGTCACCAGGTGCCTCCTACCGACACCGCCACTCTCCTCCAACGACCTCCGGGCGCCACACTCAGTTCCATAGACGGCGAACTAGGAGTCGATCAACTGCCTCCCCACCAGCATCATCCCTGCACGGAGGATGGTGAGCTGCAACAGGTGGGCGAGTTTTCCTACTTTTCTCAACCCCCTGCGCATTATATGTCTCCATCGGCGCAGCCTAGATACCAGTCCTACTGCGTCCATCCCCTCGATTTGGAGGAGGAAGGGGAGGCGGGGGAAGGCAAAGTCTATGATCTCACACCCACACCGGCACCCCAGTCTGCCTTTATCCAAGTAAACTTTGCAGTCACGCCTGTTTCCGTTGCATGGGTTCACTCACTTCCTTTTCGGTTTGGTTTAACACCACCTTGTTGCCGTTGTCAGTACTCTTGTTGTTTTTATCTCTTAGTTTCATTACTATTGGGCTTATGGCAATGTGCATTTGCGTCTCCGCATTTATTTGTGTACGTCCTGCGTGAGTGTGAGCGTATGCGTACTACGAACTGCTTTGCATAAATCATATCGGACTTTTTTCTCTTCACTGTTCTTATCATGATGGCTGAACCGCTCAGTGATCCTCTCCAACGCCTTTTGTAATCTTGTTCTGTCCTGTGGCATTCACAGTCTTTTCCCTTTTCTGAATGTTTACTGCACAACTGTCGAGAACTGTGATGTCTGCAATCTGATGTTGTTCCGTGCCTATTTAATGGCCGTTTTGCAGCCCCTGGTCGCCAAGCCTCACGTTTTGGTAATTTCGTCACTTGCCTGTTTTCTGAGCTTTATATCCTGCATTTTAGAGCGTGCCAGGTGGTCATTTCACGAATGAGAACACCAACTTCTATCCCTATGGCCACTATGCGCATCCCAGTCCGAGCAGCGGTAGTGGCGGTGGTGGTTACATGACGGGTGATAGGATGAACTACTATGGGGGTGGTGGCGGTGCAAGCAGTGGCGAGGCCTTCTCTGGAGAGGGTTCTGGGAGTTCTTCTTCCGGTTCATCACCTTCCGATGTTGATCGCTATCGTCTAGATTACCACAAATCTGAGTTACATCGCCACCACCACCACCACCACGGCTTTGACAGCTGTAACTTCGCTCCTCCCACCGACGATCCGGAGGCTCTTCGGTTAGCCGCCAGTCTTTCACAGAACCAGAAGAACATTATCGCACATGTCATGCAAGCCCTTGGTCCCGAAACGGTCTGGAAGGGTCTGCTGGCTGGAAAGAAGCGCCAGCAGATGCAACAGACCGCACCCAATGCCGCCACTTCCTCGACTAGCAGTATCAAGGCGGAGGATGGGGAGATAGTGGTAGACATGGAGACCGCAGCCCACCTTGACAACGGTGGTGACGGGCACAATGGTCATGTATCGGAAGAAGCAGAAGGAAATGACATATCTATGAGTAACGGGAATCGCAAAAATAATGCTACCCTTACAACCACCTCTTAACTTTCCTCATGTGGTCATCTCTTTCCTCACTTTCAAATGTTTTAACCTTGTCCACTTCTCACCAACGTTCCGTTGCCATGTCCACCATCCATCTCCATTTATCTCTCTGTGTATGTGCTCTGGATTTTGGCACACTTGCGTATTGCCGTTTGTTCGCGCCTCCAACGAAGATCAGTCTTCACAAAGAGAAAGAAGATGAAGAAGTTTAACGCAAACCATTCGATCCTGTCCACTCATCCGTCTCTGAGTCTTTCTTCAGTTTAACTCTCATCAACACAAGCGTACATCTAAACACCCCATTCGTCCCCTAATGGACTTTTGTTTTATAATGTTGGCTTTGCTGACTGCCCAACCCGCCATCGCGTGAAGTTTTCCCTATCACTTTCGGCACCTGTGTATATACTGCAACTGCTCTACACCTCTGTCCACTCGCTCGTGTGTCTGCCCACAAGCCAGTCGTCAATGCCACCGGGCCTGTGTCTCCCCTCTATTCCCTCTCTTTGCGTGTCGCTCCGGTCTCCAACTCTCTTCTCGTCCCCCACCCCCCTGTTAGTCAATGCGTGTATGGTTAGCTTTGAAAGAGAGAAGAAAAGGAAGGGGAGACGTTTCCTCATTTCTTTGCGTGCAGGCCAAGCCTCACTCACAATTGCCCTGCATGTGCAGTGTGCGTCTCTGCTCCGCACCTCTGCGGCTAACCTGTCCGTTTCTCATACCTGCAATTAAAACTATTATTTTTCTGTGATCTCTGTTTCGTTTTACTGTTGCCTCCTTGCGTGTGTGTGTGCGTGACATCATTTGGGCTCACGAGGCTGATTGGTGATTTAACACTGCATCACCGACGGCATGGGCTGTTTACTCCTTCAACTCGCCAGAAATTGCCATAAATGCGGGTTAAATGACCACCTAGACTTTAAGTTGCTGGCGCCAATCGCTCTCTAGACATTTTGGGCTTGCCTATCACATTTGTCAGACGTTCAGCTTAAATAGGTCAACTATTGGAATGGGCTATCGAAGCCGTGTTTATTGCGGCTGTTATGTTCCTACTACCCCGAGGTGTGAGCCGGATGACAAATTAAATCAGCTGGTTGCGATCTGCCCGGTAGACAGCGCCTGGCTGCCCTGAGTTGGTGAGCGCTAAACTTCTCCAGGCCTAATCTGTTTGGTCACGTGTCTATGTGATTCAGGTCACCTATACCTGTTACCGTTCTGCGATTACTCATCCGTCTGACCTTTTTAAAAGGTGTGTATGTGGATACGTAGTACTGACGTCGGGACGTGCATTACGTGTCCTTCAACGAAGCCTAGGCTGCGAATTGGCAATGCAAGTAACTTTTAGGTGGGTTTTTTCTCCTCCCACCGAACATTTGGTGATATTCCCAAACGTGGGCAGAGCGAGGTAGGCACCTATGAGCATGCTTGAATGTATGTATAAAATAATTAGGGATAGAATTAGCATTCGGCAGTTCGTTAATTCATTCGAATGACGCTACACTTGGGTGTGGAGCTTAATTGCACTCACTTCGTTGTTGAGGCGGTGGTGGCGGTGGTAAATGAATTCAGAACATTTGACCGCAAGCCCTTGAGATCAATCATGCCAAGAGTGCGTACATGTCAAGCCAGGTTACAACCTCTAGCTATGTGTGTTTGGAAGAAGTTTGAAGCAACTGACAGCCCTCTAGCTTGGAGTCTGGTGTATTTTGAATTTTACTTTTGCTTGATTCTTTCATCCGTGGTAATTTGTCAACCAAGCGACATGCCACAGGGGTTCCTAGTGCCAGTAACTGATTTCTTGCCCGCTGCTAACTTGGTTCATTTTCTGCTTTGCAGACATCGGGTCAGGTCTTGTGTTTAACTAATTGGTTCGTGGATGGTGCTGGCTCTCGAATCGGGACTTAATTTTACGCCCTCCCGTGAGATGGGACGCTATACTGTGGCGGTGCTACGCGCTGTAGTAAGCAGTAAGTGTGACCTACATACTTCTACGCTACCACTGCTACTTTCCCATGCCCAGGCCACGTCTCCTGTGTGGGACACATGACCTCTCTTCCACACTGGTGATCAAGATGTCGCACGCAATACTGGTAGTGTGTAGGTGTGTGGCTACATAGACTCTGATCCCTGGGCCCATACTGTTGCAAGTAAAGTGTACCCAGGATCTTTCGTGAAGCGTCACCCCAACGACGGTGGTGTCGAACCTCAATTCATTGACCTCTACCGAGTAGATGATGATAGGAAGCTGAGGTGCTGTACTAGTGCCGTGCCAAAGGGTCTAGTGAGGGTAGACGAAAAGGCGTGTGGGGCGCCTACCTACTTCTGGATGCTTGACGGCTGATGAATTGGGTGCACAAACAAGGTGTCACTTGCTTTTCATTAGATAGCAGATTTGATCGCTTGATTACGCAAGAGGTGGTGTGTGTGTGTGTGTGTGAAAGAGAGAGCGAGTGATGGGGACAAACATGCGAGTAGGTTCACATTAAGTGGTATCAATGACGTGATCCACACCGAGATCACTCATGCATGTGGTAGTACCTGCTTCGAGTAATTCGTCACTCCTTGAATTAATTGACAATGACTTACATGCGAAATTAATTTCACTACACAACAGAACTACCAACTCGGGTTGACATTTTGCGACCACGCATTACTGACACTTTTCTATCGCTCCGATTCCAAGGCGAGACCAAGCAACCGCTCGCCAATACAGCCACTCTCTCTAAATACATGCTGGGTATGACAACTCGACTTGACACCGTGTGTTTCCCTATTGCTTAATTCGACCTGTGGAAACACACTGACAGTGAATATGTTTACTTGTGAACTTTCCATGCAATCGTGATGTGTTGTGCTAGGCCCATTTGAGGTTCACAGGTGCTGCTAATCTGTAGGAAACATTGCACATACACACACGCACCCTGTGATTACTTGTAATTAAATTATAAACACGTAGAGGGTGTACAAGGTTAATGCCCTCCCCCCCCCCTCACCTCCACCTGCACCGTTGGCACGATGTAAAGCAGCCACGAGACGGGAACTGTTTTTATTGGTATCGCAAGCCAATGTTCACACCTAGTTGGCTTCTTTTTTCCTTCTTTCTTAATAAGGGAGTGTAAGTTGTTTGTAGTTGACCCCTCGCGATTCCACGGAAGCAAGGCTTGGGTGTAAGCACTGTCACGGATATCCTCTCTCCTTTCCTCTTCACCTACAATACACGCGCCTTTTCAACACGAGGGATTTGTAGACACCTCCGCAGTGCTAAAGGGCCCTATTACCTGTCAAAGTTGTTTCACAAGGCCTCTATTCGCCCTATATGCCAGACCTCGAGTACCCTTGTCCACCTTCAATCGACTTTAATGCCTCTTTAAAACGCCCAGCATAGATCGGAGCAATTTCTCACTTCGGATGGCCTCTGTGAGTCGATTTATCGCCCTGGATTGCCTCCTGTTGTGCCCCCTTTTTTGATGAAGAAACGTGTCTGGTAATGAAGCCAGACCATTAAACGGGCTTCTGGCTTATTTATTTTCTTTCTCAAAAACAGCTTGTTGATTCACCAAAAGGGGACTAGTGTGAAATAACCTGGCGCCTTTGTCACTTGCTGATGCGGTGTGCTCAGTGAGTCAGTTCGAATGTGTCACTCAGCACGTGACCAAATCACGGCCAAAATTGACAGGTCTTGTAAAAATGGAATTTCCCTGGTAAATAATCACTTGCTAGTGCCAAAAAAAGTTGGCACCTCCATTTGTCTGACGCAATCGCTCCCATTCATGCTTTCTCCAAAATGCAACAAATTGTTGCCGTCAAAAGGGGAGAAGAAAAAAGTGATTCAAGGCTATCACACCCTTTCTTTACCCGCTTAAATTGAGCTGTGAAGTTCATCAGTAAAATTTGCTCTGTCGTCACGTTTTTCACCAAGTAGAGACGTGATGGCGGTAGGACCATCTGCAAATCTGGTGATCTGAAGTTACACCCTCAGTTTATTGGAAATGACAAATTTATTTTCTCGATTTTTAAATCACCTCATATTTTGAGAGGACAAAAGGAACAACGAAATTTGATTTGAGCGTTGTAGCTTGTCCACGGAATTCTCTGTGGCCTATCTAGCCTAAGTCAACAGATTGGCCTGCATTAATGGGAACGGGTAAATCACAAAGGCGGCAGGAAGTGTGCAGAGAACGGGTTGGCATTTTTATAGCTCTTAATGACTGATTTTCGCCTCGGATAGATGAAAGTTAAAGTGGACCATCATGCTTCGGAAGGGAGAGGTGGGCATGATTCCATCATGGATGTTCAAACTTACCCGGATCATTCGAATTCGTGATCTTTCGTGAGAAGGTTTGCTACTCTGATGATACCGTGCTTTGTGTAATCTACGTACTACTACTTCCACTATTCAATGCGCCTTCCCTTCCTTCCTCGTGAATTCCCGGCTCTGGGCTTGCACGGACATAAGTGAAGTGATCTTGTGGTCTTGAATTAAGTGCCACCTCAACGAAGGTGGTGTTAAACCTAAGCGTGTTGACATTCACTAGGTAGATAATGGTGGCACGCTGAAGAGCTGGACCAGTGCAGTACCCAGTGAGGGCAGAAGAGGAGGTGTGTGGAACGCCTGCCTGCCTCTGGGTGCTGATTGCCAGATAGCTAATGAACGGATGGGCAAAGGTGAAATTGTAGAAGAGGCAAATTTCCCTGTGCATATGGTGTGGAGGCACAAGCTTCGAGGAGTATTTGTAGCCCCAAAATGTTATCTCATCCTAGTTACCTGATCGGTTTTCCCTTTTTTTTACCGATGAAAGGTGCCTCTGTTGTACTGATGCTTATTTCTAATAACGAAGTGGCTTTGCAGGAATTAGTTTAACGGTGACATCTGTGCGTGGATTTACCTTAACACTGCGTAGAAATCAGAAGTACAAATCAGTTTTTCAACTTTACTTTCCAAAAGTTCCGGCTTGGTTTGAGCGCGCCAAAAAGGTTGCGCCGTATTTAATACATAAAACAAGAAATGTTTTCACAAAGGAATAAATCATTTCGGCTACTATAAATAGATTGTGGCATAAAATACACATGAATACGTAATAATTTTTGGTGTTTTTCCCATTCACCTCTACCTTCATAACCTTGGAACGAGCAGATCTGTTGGATGGGTACAGTGGATTGTGGTTATAAGGGTCCCGAGGTGGCCTCCTCATCCTCAACTAATGGCGTCCGCTCAGTCACGAGGTCCGCCTATTGCTGGCTGGTTCTCGCTTTGGGGGTTACGCTCGAACAAACATGCATTACGAACAAATGCATACATTCTGAATGCTTTGCTCAGGAATGAGTTGGAGGTAGCATTTGAATCGCTCCGAGATCGCGAAGAAGGTGACTTTGCACTTTTCCACAGTGCTAGTCTTGGTAGAGCTCCAGTGATAACCTTAGGGCAAGGTCGATGAAGTCACTTCAAATTTTGCACACGCACAAAATTTTTTGGTCTTACTGTAGCCTGACGGGAGCGAGGCCATGAAGATGTTTCGTTTTTACACGCAATTTTTCATCAGATTTGAGGTGTAAATTGTTAAAGAGGGATTTTCGGTTTTTCCGATCTTAATTTTACCTTGGTTTAAACAGGGAGAAAGGACGTTCTGCTTTTGGATAACTCCATCTCTTCAAGGTCAATCACAAGTTTGTATTTTTATCTGGGTTCTGCACCATCATCAGGTTCTGGAAATAGGGAAAAAGTGCTCCTAATGATAAAACCCATCTTTCGTCATATCAGCTTCCCTAAAAAATGGCGGCTATGTGAATGAAGGTCGCTGTTCTGCCTCTGGCTGCTGGCGCAACCACCTCAATAGCCTGCATTCAGAGCCGACAGGCGGTTGCTGAGCCACGAATGGGGTCAATCACGCAGGAAGGAGTTGTAGAAGCCATCACAGCTCTAATCCTCCCCCATCAAGTCGACACTACGCGGAAATCTGGTCGTTGGGAGTAGAGTTATTAGTTAAACAAAGCAATAAAGTGTTTTCTTCCATCCGTGTCGTTTAAAACAAAATCAATGACTATAACACTCCCTTAGCCAAATTTTGGCCTCCTTCTCTGCGACTACTCTCCCCACCGTTTGACTAGTGGCTAGACCGATCCTCTTTTGGGGCATCATTTTACGGTGCGTTTTGCACTCACTTTTTTATTTACTTTTTCTCTTGTTGCACATATAGTGACTTGCAGTAATGCCATTTGTGGTGACAATACGTGCCTACTAATCACTGTCGTCAACCTCGTTTTAATGCCATCTTCTGCAGGATGTTCACACAGCGAATTTACACTTTCACGGTGAGAAATTTAGTTAATTTATCCGTTGTTGAAGACCAAGGAATTATCTCGAGTCCCCTGGAGAAGCTAGTTTATTGGTCCACCTTTTTGAAGGGTCCGATGAAGGGGAGGAGTTAGTGAGGTTAGGGAATTAGAAAGGAGGTCGCTGTTGTGCCAAACGCAGTTTCATCCAACTCCCCTCCCACCGCCTCACCTCGAGGGGCTCAATCACTATCGCAAAACCTATTAAAATGCAGTAGATTTTATTTTCTTCATACCATCCTTTCCTATGTCTAATTAGCAGGTAAATGCATGAAGAGATGAGGCAAAGTTTGACCCAATTTCACACTACTTTTTATTTTCCGGTTCAAAAATGAGAGCTTTGAGAAAGAAAATGCCTTTTATTTGTTGTCTTGGTTACTTCTAAATGCTTACGAATCTGTTGCACCATCATCAATGTGATGTCATTGGAGATGTAAAACCACTTGTGTTGGTGCCACCCACGTCAAACACGCCATGTTAATCTCCCACTTATCAGAACGAGTAGAAAGTGCTCCACAATGTCACTAGGATCCCATGGTTTAAAACTTTTCTACCTTGCCCAAAATGTGGCATCAAAACGTCGTCAATCCCCATGACAAACTATTCAATAACCTAAGTGCCACAAGCATAGCAACCAGGAGGTCTGGGGGGCAGGAGGCAGGACAGTGGTGGTAGTGGAAGCAGAGAAAATGAACGCTCCCTACAGGTCGTGGCAAAAGTTTCCAGGTCATTCAATTTGTTCACCACTTCCCTTACCGATGTTATGACACGGAGCGCCGACTGACTGACTGACATGTGATAAGGAACACCCATATATGGTAAAGTTAGGCGTAAAAACATATAATTGGTTAACCTCAAATGATCTCACTCTCCTGATCCCACAGGAGTACGCCCATGACATTATGCTTCTCTTGTTTGCGTGTGGTGAACTGTGCACGCGGTTGTTCTCTTGTTGAGCGCCCAAGAGCACCTCAACCCGTCTCAAACGTATGCAAGACAAACTTCTTCTTC